CTGGATTTGAAATATTTTTATCAGAAAAAATGACATTTTACTGAGGTGTTGAAATTTGGGGGGAAAATGCACCTCAATTTAATGAATTGCTTTCTGGAAAGAAAACCCAACAGATACAAATTTAGGTTCAGATAACCTAACTCGGGTTGCAGCTGTGGTATCTACTGGGGATAGTGGAAACTGTAGGTGTAAACTCTTGGATATGTAACAGAATAATCCTAGTGGATTTATACAACTATACTTGTCGTCTAAGTTCTGCCTTCAAAGAAAGCTGCATTTATACAGTCAAATTCTTTCCCGTAGGCAAGGAGTACGTTAAAAATGAAGCTAGTGTGCATATGGTAATTAGAACTGAGAACCACCACACAACAGCTGAGGAAACATGGGTTTACCAACATGTGTTTGGCTTGTAGAGATTAACAGTGTACATGGCAGAAAAGTTACAAAGGTTGTCGAGCACTGCCTGGTCTTTTTAAAGGTCACTACCATCAAGGACTCCTTCATGTTCTTACATGTGATGTCTGCTGGAGGGGATTCGAGGATCTGTTAAACAATGTAAGTATGTCTGTAAGCTTGCTTCTGACAGTGTAGTTTATATCAAACTGATTTTCTATCTCTATCACTAGCCTTGGTGAATGATGGGAAAAGTGTTTCATTTGGAGATGAGCCAAATTAGGGGCAAGGGAAGCAGGAAATGCTGCTGGATACAACTCAGATACTCAGAAAAAGGAATTAGGAGAGTATGATCCATCAGCATCCATTTGGTTGGCAAGGGTTTGTTCCAAAATAATCTTAGTCTTATCTGAAGTGCTCATTTATTCAAATCCAACTGCTGCCCTACTTTACTACGAGCAACTATCACAAATAGCTCTGACACAAAGACAGCTCACTTTTCTAAAGGGAAGAGTTCTAAAGTACAATTTCAACTTTTCCAACTGTAAATTTTATTCTTAATAATAAATGACCCTTCAACCCAGTGATGGTGGCACACACCTTTAATCCCAGTGCTCTGGAGGTGGATCTCTCCATCTGAGGCCAGCCTAGTCTATAGAATGATTTCCAGAACAGCCAGGGCTACACGGAGAAACACACTGTGTATAAACAAACAAGTAAATAAACCTTGAGAAATACAGTATAAAAAGAAACAAACCTAAACTACAGTCCTAAATCATACCACCACCAACAAAGCCAACATAAAACATATAGCCAAAACATTCTTCTCACCATAATACCAACTATTGATGATCTAGGCATAACTGTTCTACTGGTCAGAAAACAGGGTTAGCAAGTCATGAAGTCATGCTCCAAAGCAGTCTTCTGTCAGTTTTGTTCTGGAGAGGAAGGATATACCACAACAGCCAATCTCTACTACTCAAAGACACCAGTGCCATATATCCTGAGAACACATTCTAGTCCAGATCGTCTCAGGGTTTGCGACTTGGGCTTAGATGTTACTAGCTATGCTGAGGTTTTTATTTACGATGAAGGGTGAAACTAAACAGGGATTATTCTAAGTACCATGTTGGTGATAAAAACATTTCTTATTAACTTTAAGCAAATGCCAAGTAGGAGAAAGGCATCTTCCACCCTGTTAATGAGCTATTGTTTAAAAACATTTCAGGGATAGAGAACTCTAACAGTCAACCCTGACTTCCGTTTGTAGTACATTTTTAAAAGGGAGCTGGAGAGATGGCTCAGTGCTTAAAGGCATACCGTATAACAAAGGACTCAGATTCTATTCCCAGCACCCACATGGAAGCTCAATCTGTCTGTAACTCTAGTTCAAGGGTCTCTGACCTTGCTGTTGTTATCCTACTTGGGAGTTTTGAATGGTGAGGAAGCCGGAATAACTTACTTTTCCTGGGATATGGTAAAGAACTGCTAAAATCAATAGCCACAAGAGCATCCTCTGTAGAACTGTTAAAGCAAGAGCTATTCAATTTAGCTTTTCTACTTCTGAGGACAGAAGACAGACCAGAAAAAGCTAACAAACCCAAAGAATATATCCACAGTAGGTGTAATATTATTCAAGGGGGAGAAATACTTACTGCTTACTGATTATATTTCTTCAAGATTTTACAAAAAGGGGATAAGAAGTTTCTTTCTAGTCAGTGACTACAATTTGGATCTACAACCTAACAGTTGATAGGAGAGAAAAACTAGAAAACAGAGGCTATGCTTATCAAATCTTCTCAACACATCAACATACAGAGAATGTCTGTCAAAATTAAGGTTAAAATTGTATCTCCTGTGTTTAATTTATGAAAAGAGAAATTTTCAGTGTTTGTGTAAATGGCATTTTGGCTCTATGGATTATGTTAAAAGCTAAAAACCTGAGTAACAACTTTTATCTAAATATTTTCTGTAAGAAGTACAAAATTAGTGTCAACCTGAAATGTGTGAAAAACAATCTTGTAAAATAATTTTGTGTGTTTTTAGCTTCAGTATGAAAAAAAAGTAAAGCATTTACTTGCTCTCCCATAAAATGTATGGCTATTAGAAATAAGGTGTTTGTGCCTCCTTTTCCAATGTAACCATTTATACCTATTAATAAATGTTGATGAACTGCATTGGGTTTCAAATGATAATTTAATGTGCAAAAACACTAACAGGAGACTACTGTAGTTTAAAATATTTTGAAAAGTCTGAGAATCAATCAACATTATCTCAATTTCTATAGTTCCTATATAAAAAGTTTTTACTATTAAGTGTTAAAATAGTAAAACCTACTGATTCACTCAACTCGATCAATATCCACTACAAGCTTAGACTATATACTTCAAAACAGTAGTTTTACCCAGAGATATACTTAAAAAGTATAAAACGTTAAGAACTCAACTATCCGATAGCCTTCCTTAATCCTAGATGTCTTAGCAAGATCTCTATGAACCTCAAGACAACCACTCTAAAGCCTTATAAATTTATTTTCAATATTTGACTTTTTAAATGAAACATTCATACTATAGATTTTGCTGTTTCCCCCCACCCAACTCTTCTCAGATACATCCCTGAACCTTACCCACCAACTTTATGCTCTTTCTGTCTTTAAACCAAAGAAACAAAAGACAACAAAAATAAAACATTAAAAACCTCAGACTCTTACTAACTTCAGAAGCATGCACCATATGGCCAGTTATCATGGTATTCTTATAAAAATTTCCTAGCACAAGGCAAAAGTAGATAATAGTATAGTGGACCTAAGCTTTAAGAATTATTTACTCCAAAATGGTTTAAAACCACATTAGTTACCTAAACTCATGAAACTACACTTTCCACATGTTCCTGACAAGTCTAAAAAAAAAAACTGTCTTTGATAGTTCAGCTAAAAGACATGTATTCTAAATCAAGTTGCTTCTACTGAAATTCAATTTTCTCTAAACTGGGAGTGGGTGGAAACTAGGAGATTGCCTTTCACTACATACATCCTTTGACTTTTATTGTAAGAGAAAATATAAAATGCTTCAAACCTGTCCCACATTGACAAAAGCCTAGATTCAGTTTAAGCTCTACCGCCCTCCTCAATGAACCATTGTGTTATTCATGCAGATTTACATCTGAATTACGTTTTGAAAGTCTGGTATTCACATTAAAATATAATTTGTTTGTTTATATTTCATTTCCAAAGATAATTAAATGGTTATGCCTTGATTATAGACTCTAAGGAAAAGATGTTTTAAATTCACAAGTCTTGAATTTCAACAGTAAAATAGATTCAATACTTTCATCTGCTCTTAATCAAGGCAGAGAGCCACAATTAGTTTTGAGAATAAATATAATACACAGCTTAAAATGCATTATTTTTCTTGCTATGGAAATTACTTAGAATTCTACCTTTAGTATGACCAGATTTTATCAGAAAAGGAGTCCCAAACCAACCAAAGAACCTTTATATCCTCTTGCAATGAAATTGCTATTTGGTTAACAATACAGAAAAGACAAGATTAGGTTTTGCAGGGTCAATAACTAAAGAGGTAATAAGCAAAAAATGAGGCTTGAGAGCTCAGTCAGCAAAGTGCTTGTCACAGGACCTTGAGGACCTGACTTTCTCAAGCACCCATGTAAAGAGCCAGACATGGTTGTGTACATTTCTATTTCCAGTCCTGGGAAGACAGAAACAGATGGTGCCTTGGGCTTGCTGGCCAGCCAGCCTAGCCTAAGTGTTGAATCCCAGGTTCCAGAGACTGTCTCAAAAGAAAATCGGGTGCAGCTTTGTTGTAACCAAAGGATATTTTTTGTTGCCATGTATGTGATGAGCAAAGTACTTGGAACAAATTAAGCTCCAGAGGACTGGTCAATAGGAAACTTATCTGGATACACAAAAGACAGGAGGGTAAAAGAGATAATGAAATATGTATCACAGAAAGTCAGAAACAAGCATGCTTTAGAAGACAGTACAAGCCTAAAAACACAAAGTACTAAGACATGACAAACGGTGGCTTATAAAAACTACAGTAAGTAGCCCAAGTTTCATAAGGAGGTTAAAAGAAGAGAAAAACATGCTCCAAAGTGTGCCTATTGTTCTCTTAGCCCACATGATTAAAATGCCTTCAATAAACCTTGAAGGTGCCTTAAAAATAATGGCAGTGTTAAGAGAAGAAAGACAGATGTCTGTACTGTGAGAGAAGGAACCACATTGAGGAGGGAGTGTACACGGGGACAGAGACAGCGGAGGACAGAAGGCAAAAAGCAAATTACAAGGACCAACAAAAATGCCATAAAGAACTCAATACTTAGCCAGGCTAACAAAAATAACTTTTTAATTAAAAAAAATAAAAATAAAAAAACACTAAAATACAAGCTGAATAGGAATAGTCTCAGGAGAAAAGAACAAGACATACTAAGTATGGGGATGATCAAATAACATTTCAAGTGGCCTTACAACGACTCATCACCAATTCAAGCTATAAATTCATTCCTTTGTAACCACCATGTCAGGGGAAACATGCTGAAACAATCAAACATCTGGTACTCGCTTTGTTGCAAAAAGAAAACTCCACTCATTTTGGTAATTTTAAATGCTAGTTTTTATTTACTGCAAATTGTGCAAAGGATACTATAATACTGTGCAGTAGGACAGTTATGTAAATCCAGTATTAAACAATCCCATATGGTGGCAAATGTAAAGCAGAACACCATGTGCCTTCAAAACTGGTTCATATCAGACTGCAATTCAGTTCTGACAATTTTTAAAGAAACCTGAAGAACTGGCATTTAATAGAAACAAATACCGAGGAGCACAGGCTCGATTGGTTGGATTTTTTGTCTCTTTAAATTTCTTGAAAAATGGAAAGTGTACTAACACTAATTGATTAAGATGTATCATAGAAACTAGCTTGTATGTTTTCCTTTATCAGTTGGCACCATCAGTTAATACAATTGTAACAAGCTGGGTTAAAGCTGCCTCCAATGAAGTTGCCCATTATAAGGACTAGTTGTACATTCACTGCAATTTTCTTATAACAAAAGGTAATGTCTTTGTTTTAAAGAAATATTTTACTTCAAAAGTAAAATAATTTTAAAGACATAGTGAACATTCTTCCCAACTAAACCACTTAAGAACTAATAAGACATTTATGAACCATAACAGTAAAGATGGCAGCGAAAAGTATTTCATGTTGCCAATCTTAATTCTGAGGTGTATAATGAGGTGAGTTAGGTAGAAGCATATAGCCAATTGGCCCAGGATTTATAGCACCATGAATCTGTGCAGAAGTACCATATGCTGCACCAACTGGATGCCACATGGCAATACTGGAGTAATCTGATGCAACAGGAACATAGGAATCAAAACCCGACAAAGGAGATCCATAGGGATCTGTCATTACTGGATAGTAGACTGTTCCATGAGGGATAGGTACAGCATCAGCAACGGGATAAGTATCTGAAATGAAGAAGAGATATAGTATATATACTCTAGTATAAAATTTCACTAAATCTGAATGAATATTCTTGCAAAAAAAAAGTAAATATCATTAATTATAAAAAAAGACACCAGGGCATGCCAGCAAGGGTGCTCAATGGGTAGTAGGAGCGCTTGCTGCCAACCCTGACATCCCAGTAACCCATGGAGTGGAAGGAGAAAACTGACTCCTTCCTTGGTTTGTCCTTTGAATGATACACATGAACCATGGTGTGCATATGCAGAGTCAAACACATTCGTGTATTTGTGTTGTCTCCCCCTCTCTCCCTCTTTCCCCCTCATTAAAACATCTTTTTAAAGTTCACAGAGACATTTAAGTGCACTTGCTACTCTTCCAGAGGGCCTGGGTGCAATGCCCACCACCTACATGGTAGGTCATAACCATTTGTAACTAACTACAGTCAAGAGGATCCACAACACCCTCTTCTGAACTCCTCAGGCAAAATGCCCATACATGTAAAAATAAAAATCTAAGTAACTGCATGTAGGAACATTCTAATTCTGGCTTTTTGTTTTTGTTATTTTGATTCAAAGTCTGTTTACATAGTCCTGGCTGTCCTGGAACTAGCTCTGTAGACCAGGCTGACCTCAAACTCACGAATCTGTCTCCTGAGTTCTGGGATTAAAGAAATGTGCCGCCGGGCGGTGGTGGCACACGCCTTTAATCCCAGCACTTGGGAGGCAGAGGCAGGCGGATTTCTGAGTACGAGGCCAGCCTGGTCTACAGAGTGAGTTCCAGGACAGCCAGGGCTACACAGAGAAACCCTGTCTCAAAAAACCAAAGACTAAATAAATAAATAAACAAATAAATAAATAAATAAATAAATGTGCCACCACACCTGGCATGAACATTTTAGATATAAATAAATAATTGTATCTACAAAGTTAGCAAAAGAGGGTCTAACTTCCAAATTAAAAAGTTTCAAAAGCATGTGTTTTATACATACAAATAAACCAGGCATGGGTAACATCTGTTGGTAACTGGAAATCCAGTACTTTTATCGAGTTAAAAGATCATACATAAAACCATATTTAACTCACTGAAAGAGTTTGAAATTACTGGGAAGCTGTTAGGATCATCTTATCAAAGAGCCTGAAGGATCACAAAACATCTCTATACTACAGCTTCAGAACTCATAGTCTAAATGCATATGAATCTCTTGAAGTATATCTGAAGACAATAATTATATACAAAAAAATCCAGCTGACATTTTTGCTGGCAATCTCATTACATACTCACCATTTGTTGTTACATCTGCCTGTGTGTCACCTGTTCTCGCCACATCAGTGTACACTTGAGGAACACTTTGGTCTGCGGGGGTTTGCTCAGTACAATCTGGATAACTCTCTCCATTAAGCTGCTGTTGTTGTTGCTGCTGCTGCTGTTGCTGCTGCTGCACATGTGGCACATAGACCATGGAATGCCAGTAGTTGTGATGATAGCACTGGAGCAAGAAAGGTAACAAGTAAAAACTTGCAAATCCTTATTGTTATCTATTCTTAAAGGTAGGGTAATTCCTAGCTTAAAGAAATCAAGTGTCAATTTTCAGGAGTTGTAATATCTGATATGTACAAAGTTGTTTATAACTAGAACTTTAATCTCTCTGCACCATTTATAGTTCATATTTATACCTTAGGGATGCATATTAAGGAAATCAAACACATGAAAAGACTTGTGTTCAAACATGTCACCTGTAGCACTAATTTTTATAAACACATCACTAAACATTATTTTTAAAGTAAAAACTACTAAAAACTTATGTATTCAAAAACAGAGCTGTGAAAACTGTTATGTATCTATGGTAGAATACTACACAAGCAAAAAAGCCATGTTTTTTAATCAAATATTTAAAGACAAAAAAAAGGTGGACTGGAGCGCTAGCTCAACAGTTAAGAACACTGGCTACTCTTCCAGAGGTCTTGAGTTGAATTTCAAGCAACCACATGGGGGATCACAACTACCTTTAACAGGATCCAATGTTCTTTTCTGGCAAGCAGATGTACGTACAGAGAGATCACTCATATACATAAAATACATAAATAAATCCTTAAAAAATAAAGACAAGAAAGTTTTCTGCTCATGTCTAAGGTTTCAGGGAAATTATTGCAAGCTACTACCAACTACTTAAGCCATTTCCAAGAGACCAATAGTTAAATATTCATCTGTATCATTCTTTGTCAGGAAATATGCTCTCTGATTATAGGTTATATTAGTTACAAATGGAGTATTATTTAAGGGGGAAAAATGATCGCAGTTCCACAAACCAAAACACCTATCAATGGTATCAAGATGTATGCTAATACCTACATCTCTCAAACTCAGGGAAGAATTTGGCAAGAATCCAAAGTTGGTGCTTTAAAAAGTTATTTAAGGGCTGGTGAGATGGCTCAGCGGTTAAGAGCACTGACTACTCTTCTAGAAGTCATGAGTTCAAATCCCAGCAACCACATGGTGGTTCACAACCATCTGCAATGAGATCTGATGCCCTCATATGGGTGTCTGGAGACAGCTACAGTGTACTCACATTAAATAAATAAATAAATACCAAAAATAAATAAAATAAACCAAAGGGGAAAAAGTTATTTAAATATTTGTCAGGTCTGATTAATTTCACATAAAACACAGAACTTTCCATAAACTATTAAGTAAACAATAAATAATCCACTCATTCTGAGTATATAACACTGAAGGGCTGGCTGTTAAGTATGAAGCCTAAACTAATATATATGAAGTTGTGCTGTTTAGAAGCCAGCCCCCATTCTCTTTAACACTATTTTATAGTAACACAAAGTGAATCATGCTAAAGTAGAAAACTGACCAACATAATCTTCAGAGATCTCTTAAGAGTAACAAGACCTTTTAGGCATTCATAATATTCTTGGTTTTTAAACTTCAGGCGTCTTGATTTCTCAAAACATATTATCATTGAATAGGATTTATCAAAATAATTTTATTATTATCCCTACCTGCAATCCCAGATTGAAATAGTACTGCAAAACTTTTGTATCTAAAACAAAAAAAATAAATTTTACGAGATTGACATAAGCAATTTTAATTATCACTTAAAAGCTATATAGACAGCCATCTCAAACACTCCCACTATTCTCAAGTGTTTTAAAGGATAATTTTTCACTTGGCATAGCTATGATTATTTTTGAGACATAAGGTTTAATCAATCACCCAACACAAATTTCATTTCTTTTCTTAGTATTAGATGTTACTAGGATGCCATTCTGTTACTACTAAGCTAGAAAAGACATTTTCTTGCTTGTTTCAAGATGGAAATTTCACTACAACTATACCTCAGATACTAGCACTATTCCATAGTACGAAGTGCCCCTCTACTAATGCTGAGGAAGGGGTGGCCACTGAGAAAGCAGGCACAATTTGGAACAACTCAGCGTGTTGTGATTTCTCTTACCAAATTCCCACCAGAATGCCAAAGACAGGGGGACAGTAAACAAGGCAGGTGAAAATGAGTTAAAGCCTAAGACGAGAAAACTTCAAGTATAGAACTCAACTCAAAGAGTTCACAAATTAACCAAAACTAGATTTGACAGAAGAGGAACTGTTCATAGCATTCTTGTTTTGTTTGTATTATTTTAATGTTTGGAATGAACCCCAAGGCCTTGAAAACACTAAATGAGAATTCTACCACTGAGCAAACTCCTCAGACCCGTTTCTCAGTATTTTAATTGCATCTATAAGTGTATTTAACTGACTGTGACTGACCTGGGTACATGTATATTTTTATTATTACTATATCTCAAGTACCACTAACAGATAAATTTCTAGAAATAGTCTCTTTTAAGTCACAGACTCCCTATGGAAATATATTTTTTTGCCATTTTGCAAGAATCACTGTGTATTTTAATATATAGGGTTATAAAGCCAGATGTTCAAGTTAAAGAATGAGAAAGGCAAGAAGTAGAATTTTTGGTACATACAAACAACACCAAAAGCTACATACCAATGTTTATGACATATCATTGACAGTCAAAAGGCAGAAACAACCAAAATCTCCATCAATTGCTAGATAGTAAATGTGGCACAAACATACAGAAATTATTCAACTATAAACAGTGAAGTGTTGCTACCTATTTACAAGAAGGATGAACCTTAAAGACATGCTATTACAAAGGCCAAGATCTGGAACCACCCTATATACCTATTGATAGATAAATGAATAAAGAAAAAGTAGCATATATATACAATAGTTTTATTCAGCCATAAAAATAAAATTATGACATCTATTGGAAAATAGATGGCACTACAGATCATATGTGAAATAAGCCAGACTCAGACAAACATTTTCTTTCATATGGAGAATCTACTTTTAAAGGTGTTTTAAAGAAGTTTTTTGTCAGGCAGTGGTGGCACATGCCTTTAAATCCCAGCACTTGGGAGTCAGATTTCTGAGTGCAAAGCCAGCCTGGTCTACAGAGTGAGTTCCAGGACAGCCAGAAGTATATAGAAAACCTTGTCTTGAAAAACCAAACGGGGGCGGGGGGGGACCTCTTTTTTTTCTTTTTGGTTTGTTTTTCTCAACTCAGAGATCCACCTGCCTCTGGCTCTAGTTCTGAGAGTAAAGGCATGTACCACCATACCTAGCTTGGAACTCTTTAAAGAGGTATTGTCAGTTATTCATGCCAGGGTTAAAACCCTAATGGCAACTGTATTTGATGTACTAAAAAGACAAAACTGCAAAATGAAACACCAATGGTGTCTGGAATAACAAATTAGCATATTCTGTCTCACATGAATGTAGATTTAACTATACATAACTACATGTAAATGTACATAAAACACATAAAAGCAGAAGGGAACTAACTATGAATAAGTAACCAGTGGGGACATCAAGTATAAGGAATGATAACGGGAATGGGAATGTGGTCCAAGTACAATGACTCACAGTACAAAACTGTCATAATGAAATCCAGTCTATTACATGGTATGGTGATAAAAAAAAAGCTCGTATCTCTAGCCTGACAAAATCCCAACATAGAGGGGAAAAAAGGTGCATATGTAAGCCCATCACCAGCTTAGGAACTATTAGCACTGACAGATCCTAGAAGTGGGATAGTTTTCTTTAATGATGTGACCTCTGGTGGGCTGAACACACACCAGAACAGATTCCAATCTCAAGAACAGCTGGGCAACACAAACTGGATTCTATGGGGGAATGAAAAACAAGTCTCAATTGTGGAGAAAAGGATGGAAGGAAAGAACTTGAGGGGGTAAATATGTTCAAAAAACATTTTATGAAATTCTCAAATAACTTATAAAACATTTTTTTAAAAACTAGAACAAACTGGAATAGTCAACTAACTAAGTAGCAACATAAAAAAAAAAAAAAACCCAAGCACCACTAACTTAAAGAACACTGATAAACTCAAACACTTATGTCCAGTTTAAGAAGCATTCTACGTGCTACATGCTGTATTGGCTACATTTTTTATAAATATCCAAAGCAAGTAAAACTAATGCATGGTAGAAAACAAAAGAGCAGACCAATGATGATATCTAGGGGAAAATGTGGATGGGCCAAGGGAAAGACAAGGAGGTAACAAACAAACTAAAATATCTGCCATGCAGGCATGAAGAAATAAGTCCAAGCCCCAGAACTCATGTACAAAGTAATGGGCATGGTGGTGCACACTTCTCACCTTAGCACTGGAAAAACTGGGGTAGAAACTGGGTGAGCTACCCAGAAGGCCTAGCCTACTTGCTAAGTTTTTGGGCAAAGAGATCCCATCTCAAGGGGAAAAAAAAGAATGTCTGAGGAACCACACTAAGGTTGTTCTCTGGCCTGCACATACACAAATATGCACGTGCAGAAAAAAATGAGCTTTTTAAAATCTTAAATAAAAAACAAGTATGAAACAATGATAATGTTTTATAGTTTGATTTTATGTGTTGTAATCAGTATCACTACACATACTAACAAACTGTGTATCTTTCAATCCATGAATACATTGTACAATTTAATCACTGTATAGTAATGAATTATACTTAAATAAGCATATTCACCACTATATTCGTCATTTCCTTTTTGTGAGAACATTGAAAAATTTTTAGTTATTTTGAAATATATAATATATACATCCTACTGTACAAGTTTAACACCAAAACATAGTCCTCATATATAATGATATACAATTCTGTACCTAATAAACAATTTTCCCTCACATACCCTTCTATACTCTTCTCAACCTATTGTAGAAATTGCAATCCTATTCTGTATTTCTATAAGAAGCATGTTTTCACATATCACAAGTAAGTTGAGACATGGAGTATATGTTTTTCTGTGGCTGGCTTATTTTACCAAATATTATGTATGTCCTCTAGATTCATACACAAAGGACAGGAATTTGTCTTTTATGTAGGTGAATAGTATTCCACTGTGTATATATACTCATATTTATTCTCCATTATGGTTCAGGAGATCTATTAATATATACAATTTACCTTTAAAGCCATCAAAAACAAGGTTGAGTTAATTTCTAGTCAGAAGGATAAAAGAAACAATGAACAAATATGTGATAAAACAATATAGTTGAATATTGAACAACGTAATCTTCCTGGCAATTATCAATTTTTTAAATCAACAATGTTTATCTGAGTATCATCACAATAAACTGGTAGAAAAGTAGAAAATCTGCATTATGTGATGAATGAATAGTACTTGAGCACAAAAGGTTGACAGAATAAAAGAATTAGGATTTAGATATTAGGTTAAATTAGATAGAAACAACAATAATACTTACAAAATGTGAAACCAAGAAGAGGAATAAATGTTTGTGTTGACTGGTGAAAGACAAGAGGGAAAAGATGAGGAATTTCATTAGAGATTTTTAAGTCTGAAAGTTTAAAAAGCTAAGTGAAAATGTCTAGTAAGTCACCAAAATTTCCAAGCAGTGCTAAGTAGATTTAAAATAGACTACAAAGACATACCATATGGAAAAAGATCAAAACAGACTTGGAGAAAATCTAGGTGACTAGTTCAGGGGCTGGAAATAACTAAGAAAAAAGCAACAGCTCAAAAAAAATCAGGAAGCAAGAAAGTATAAGCAAGCTGCTAACGACCTACAATTAAAATTCTCTTTGAGTAATACAGCCAAACTCGAAGCAACAAAGAACTTCCAATGGAAAAAAATCACTGTTGATTGTTTAAGAAAGCAAGAATACAAGGTTGATATCCAAAGCAGATCAGATGAATAGAAGCTTTTTCCATATCCCCAAAATTCAGTTAGTATACCAAGTATCAAATAGGTTAACACTTTGGGAAAGAATTCAAGACATAGAAGAAAATGTTTAATACTAAAGAAAACGTTTAAATATTAACTTCCAATTTAAAATAAAATACTTGAGAAAAAACAAAGCTACTCATTTGTGAATTCCTTTCAGGAAAGACATGTAGTTACAAAAAGAGGAGCAGAGGAAGGGTCATGATTCAATCCAACTATCTACTAGCCATCTATGGAAGAAAAGATACTTGCAGTTGCTCCTTGTTAGTCACCTCGAATTCTATTCTCAAATCCCTCTCATTTGGTTCTATACTCATCAACCATCTGGAAAATGTTAGAGACTCAAAAGCCATCTCATAACTAAATAACCAAATCTCAAAGGTCACTACCTTGGGGCAGATCACTTCCACTCGGGTCATAGGAATAAGGCGGTGGTGGTGGTGGAAGAGGGAATCCCAAAGCATCTCCTGCTTCAAGGGGAGTGGCAGGAGGAGGAGGCGGAGGTAGTGGTGTTGCCACTGGTGTTGCCACTGGTGCTGGTGTTGCTGCTGCTGCAGGCTGAACATAGGCTGCAACAGTAGAAATAGGAGAATTATTAGGGAAAGGATGGCAATAATTAACAAAGAAATAAAACATAAAGTAGCAATGCACAGCTATAGTCCCTTATAAAGAGTAGCTGACCTGCTTGTTTTTTTTTTTTTTTAACCCCCAGTATAATCACAGAACACTGAAATTCCATGGGTTGACTTAAACACTCGGAGGTTACCCAATGCAAATTTAAAGATGTTTCCAGCCACCTATCACTCTTGATCAAAGCATAAGACATAGCAAAATTGAACACAGTAGAGATTTTAGCAACCTTACACACTCTTCTGGCAGCTTCGAAAGAATGTAAGGAACTTTAAATTAGAAATTTCCAGTTCTAAGGAGACATGGAATCTAAAAACTGGGCTAGATATACAATATTTTACCCCTGTAATGTCTATATTCATTACTATACTTTAAAGTTATCCATCAGGGAGTTTTAGTTTTAATACAAAATTAAAATGTATTTGTTTGTGTATTAAGCCCACTCAGGGCAGGTAAGAATCAAAACAAGCAAAGACAAAGAGATGGCATCCCACTATCCCCTTCAAGAGTAGTTTATATAAAGTTCAAACATTTTTCCAATATACTACTGCCAAATACAATTTGAAAAAAATTACTTTATTGATGTACGGTGTTTGCCTACATGTGTGTCTGTGTACCACATGCATACCTAGTGCCCTCAAAGGCCAGAAGAGCATCATATCTCCTTGGAGTTAACAAATGGCTGTGAGCCATCATGTCTGTGCTGGGAATCAAACCCAGGTCCACTGGAAGAGCAGTGAGTGCCCTTGACCATTGCCATCTCTCTAGTTGCCCATTAAAAAATGCTTTTTGATGGTACAAATATTCTCTATGCTGTTGAGTTCAGTAGCTACTAGTCACATGTGGCTTTTTGAACATCTGGCATCCTGCTACTGACTGAAAAACTAACGGGTTTATTTAATGGCAAATAATCCAAATTGTCACATGGAAATTATCATTACACTATATTCTTCAAGAAAGGTTCATAAGAAAAATATTGAGTCTAACATGCTATCCATTATGCTTGAAAAACTCTCTAGCAAATTAGAAAATCTTGGGGAAGCTGTTTTTTCGAGACAGAGTTTTTCTGCCTAGCCCTGGCAGACACCTGAATCTCACTCTGAAGACCAACTAGGCTGACCTTGAACTCAAGAGACCCACTTGCCTCTACCCACTGGCCAGTGCTGCTGCTAAAGGCATATGGCACCATCAATGTCTTTATTCTTGTTTGTTGTTGTTGTTGTTTGCATGAATTTGTGTTTGTTTTTTGAAACTGGGTTCCTCAGTGTAGCTCTGGCTGTCCTGAACTCAAGAGATCCACCAGTTTGTTGCTCCAGTGTTGGAAATAAAAGTGTGCCCACAATGCCTGGCCCATAGTGAATTCTTATTGGCTTTTTTGGGACTTTGTAATGATAATCAGATCACCTAGTTTTGCTGCAGATGCTCTATGGCTCTGGATTTTATTTTTTCCATTTTTTTGGGGTGGGGTGGGGTGGGAGGTAGGGGGAAGACCCAGATGGAAAAGCTATGCTATTACAACCAGTTTCCTAAAACTCTAAAACTTTAAATCATATTACCTCATTAAAATTCAGCAACTACTCCATAAATAGGTAATATTTGTTGGCATTCCAAGCTCATAGTGACTTGTGTCTATAACTTGTTCAAAATCACACAGCTAATAAGTAGTAAAACCAGGGCCATAATATTGCACATTTCTTAAATTCTACTAAAGCTTACTGTTTATTATGACAGTTGCAGGACAGAGAGTACATGGGTTTGATCTTTATAACAAACTTTTGGGAAATTTACTATTTCTATGTCAATCCTTAAGTAATAAAGCATAATTCATGGGGCTAGCGAGATGGTTCAGTAGGTACAAGAAATCACTGTACAAAGCTAGTGACATAGTCTAAACCCTGAAATTCACATAAAAGTGGAAAGAATCATCTAAACCCTGAAATTCACATAAAAGTGGAAAGAATCAACTCCATAGTTTTCCTCAAGCCTCAGCTCTTCACCTCTGCCTCATATACACATTAAGAAAAAGACTTTCAAAACAACTCCAAGTTGTAGGAATAGTACAAGATCTGTATCCATTGAGTAGCAAAAGGCAGGTATAAAATCTTATCAGGGCCCTATTATAAAAACAAAAACAAATCAGAATTTAAGCCGAGTCTCAGATTCCTTAGTGATGTAACAACAATTTTAAGAAAAATTGACCGTATCTATTCCTTTAAATTACAATCCCACCTAGTATCTAGTATGCACATTCTCGTAAGTAGAAAAAGGTTTCCAAAGTAAATCAACACTAATAACCCACCTGAACCATCTTGTGCAGTTGGAGGTACAAAGACAGGTTGTATGGCACTCTGTGAGGAAACGTCAGAGGTGCTAATAGTTTGATTATCTCCTGTGCAGTTAGATATGACTGGAACCGGAACATGGCTGGCCCAAGAAACTGCAATTGCTGCAGAATTTTCTAACACCTATAAGTGGAAGAAGGATCAGAATTCTTAAGTTTGGTTTCTCAGACCATTTCTTGCCCTCAACCTAACTTCAAGAAATAATTTTTCTGTAAATAAAACACTGAGAAGTCAATCTGCACACAAACCATATATAAAGTTATGTCTTTTGCAGATCTCTGACTATATTGAGAGCTATGTTTCTTTCTGTACAGATAATACATTGATTAATGTCAAAACCATAAAGCCATCAAGTTGTACATGATGGAAAGTTTCCCTCCAACTCCTGTTCTTTGTTGTGTTCCTTTATCTGCTGTGTTCCTAAAATGGTAATTTCTCAGCCTCCACAGCTTTGTAATATAGATTTATTTCCATTTATACACATATTAACCCACAAAATATTAAAGTAGAAAAGATGCTTTTGTATTTAAGTGTAACTGAACTGAAGCTTTTTTCTTTTAAATTAAGGGGCAAAATTCTTCAAGAGAACATAGTACTTTCTCAGGGCATACGTTATATACAAATGTGTGTAAATATAAGACAAATATCAAACTAACAAATGACAAGACCCTTAAACACCATCGACACTAGCAGCTTTCATTTCTGACTACTACAGTATCACTCTTACCCAGTCCAATCATCTAAAATGACAAAGTCATCAAATCCTACTAGATTCTGGTTAATCTTTACATTGTTTGATCTCTTGGGAAAGGGCCATATTCATTACTCCTGAAAATGTTCTCATCCCAAACAAAGTATCAATACTTTTCCTCTTTCCTCAACTGCTCCTTATTTTCAAAATGTGATGATCTACTGGCTGTATTTTAAATGCTGGTCTCATATTCTTTCCTTTTCAGGTACCTTTATAAATGTTAACTCCTAATTCATGTTTCAGTAAACAAGAGACTTGGAAAGTAATTTACTAATGACTGATTTATAACAAGTTCATAGCAGATCATAAAATAGTGTCTGAAACAGGTACTTAATTGATTTGAAAAATAAACGTATTAATCACTGTGCCAGGTAACAGAAGGCAGAGTAATACTTAGTGAAATATAAGCAGCTGCTCAGAATTATGATGAAGGCAAAGAAAAGGGAAAATTTGTTTTCTTCTATTTAGCTCTCTGTAAGTAACTGGTAACACTGTGAAGATTACCTTCTGGGGGTAGCTGTATGAGGTAACTGTGTCTTGAGGCACAGAACATGGTCCACTGTCCTGAAGAGACTTTAATAAATACAGAAATATAATTGAATAAAGGGACACTAAGAAACCAAAGGAAATTTTCACTCTCTTTCCTATCCTCTATCATAAGTCCTCTAGTCTCATCTGCAGCCCTGTAGCAGCCTATTTGCATGTGGCTTTCCCCCCACACTATCTCTAGCACTGTGGACTACATAAAGACTTGATGTGGACTCAGCTTTCCTCCATCTTTCTTTTCTGTCAGCCCCAAAACTTCAAACACTTTTTCCCTGGTACCCCCAGTGGTTAAACCTGACAGAGACTAGGTAGGTAATTCCCACTATCCTTCCTGTTTTTCATTACCATCTCCACCTTCCAGGCTCACCCTCAACCAAGTTGCTTACAGGTGTCCCTCCTCCTACCCCAACTCCATTCATTGGAGACTCCAACTCAGACCCAAGCTGTCCCTAACCCTTTCATCCCTGTCTCTTCAAATTATTCTTTGCCTTACCTCAACCTACTTGCAATATCCCCTTGTCCCACCACACATCCAACTAATTTCCTAAGAACTGTATCTCTTGATGTGTACAGGATCCCCTTATCTTTCCTGAAGCCCTTCTCAGCCTTTATTCCTAGCCTATCCTCCATTCTTTTCAGCCACCCATTAACCCACAGAGGCACTCAATAGCAAGACATCCACAGCTACCACACTTTTCTAATACCCAGAGAAGGCAAAAGAAACCAAGAAATGGAATGCCCACCCAACAAAGACAAGACCTGATATCAACACCTAGAATCACCAACTCTGGTTGGCTAGACACTAGTAGAAAAAAACACAAATTAACAGCCGAGACAATATGCCTCCACCAGAACCCTGTAACCCTACAGTAGGAAATACAAGAAACACAATATAGCTGAAGCATAAGATAAGGACTTCAAAGTACCTATTACAAACGTAGGCTAGTACAAACGTTACTTATTATGAATGTAAGAGCCAGTATGTTCAAGAATCTTAAAAGAGGATATGAGTAAATCCCTTAATGAAGTCTGTGAAAACACACAGTAAAATGGAATAATGAAAGCAGTTCAAGAGAAATAAATGAAAGAAACTGAATTAAGGAAGGCTCAAACTATGATAAAACTGGAAATAAAAAATTTAGGAAATTAAAAACCTCAGAAGTAAGCTTTACCCTCAGCAAACAAAACAGAATGGAAAATCTCAGGTACAGAAAACAACCAGGTAGAAAAAATGGATACCTCAGCCAAAGAAAATATTATGTCAAAAGGTCCAAGCACAAAACATCTAGAAGTCTGGGAAATTAAAAAATGACCACATCTATGGATAATAGGAATAGAGGAAGAAGAGACCCAGGTCAAAGACACAAAATCATATAAGCATACAGAACACCAAATAGAGTGGACCAGAAAAGACAGAGAATAGATCCAAGTGAACAAAATTAAAGGCAAAAAAGGGGGAACATCATGACACCAAGGAAACTAGAAAATCCTACGGACATATTTTAAAAAATCTATACTCCAAACTGGAAAAACCTAAAAGGAATGAATAAATTTCTCTCTGTGTGTGTGTGTGTGCGCGCGCACGCGAGGAGGGGGAACCTTCTAAAGTTAAAGCAAGATCAAAACAAACTCATAAACCCCAGTGAAATAGAAGCAGGAATTAAGCCTCCCAAATAACAACAAAAATACCCAGGATGAGACGAATTCAGTACAGAATTCTATGAGACCTTCAAAAAATGCTTATATTCCAAAAATCACTCTGCAAAATAGAAACTGAAGGAATATTACCTAATTCTTTTTACAAGGTCACAATTAACCTTATACTGAAACCACAAAAAGACTCAAGAAAGAATTATAGAGCAATTTCTCTTATGAACATGGATGCAAACACTCTCAATAAAATACTCGCAAACTGAATTCAAGAACACATTAAAGATCAGAGACCACAATCAAACAAGCTTCATTCTAGAGATCCAAGGATGGTTCAATATATGTAAATAGATAAATGTAATTCATCATATAAACAAACTCAAAGAAAAAAACACATGATCATCTCATTAGATGCAAAAAAAGGTCTTTACAAAACTCAACACCCCTCCATGATAAAAGTCTTAGTGAGCCCTGATTTGTACCTATAGTCAACATCAACTTAAATGGAGAGAAACTCCAAGCAATTCTACTAAAAATCAAGACCAAGACAAAGCTGCCCATTTCCCATGACTACCTATTTAATATAGTAGTTGAAATCTTAGCTAAAAAACAACTGCAAATCAAGGGGATACAAACCGGAAAATGCCTTTATTTACAGATAATTTTATACATAAATAATATTAAAAACTCCACAAATCTGCAGGGGATAAACACTTTAAGAAAAGTAATAGGATAAAAATTTATCACATAAAAATTGGTAGCCTTACTACATACAAACAACAGACTGAGAAAGAAATCTGAGCAACAATATCTGTCATGATAGTCTCAAAAGGAAACTCTTGGTGTAACTTCAAGCAAGTCAGACACTTACATAATAAAAAACTTTAAGACATTAAGGAAAGAAATTGAAGACAACTTAAGATGAGAGGCTCTCCCATGCAAAGGAATCTCTGGGGTTAGTAAGTGAAACTAGCCATCTTAACAAAAGCAATCAATCCACAGATTCAATATCATCCCCATCAAAATTCCAACACAGTTCTTCACAGAAATCAAAAGGAAATTTTCAGCTTTATATGGAAACATAAAAAAAAAATAGCTAGCACAATCCCAAATAATAAAAGACATGCTGCAGGTATCACCATCCCTGGTCTCAAATTGTACTGTGGAGCTATAGTAATAAAACTGTAATAAAACCAGCATGGGATTAGCACAAAAAAAGGTATGTCAGTCACTGCAATACCACTGAAGACCCAGTCCTAAGTCCACAAACCTATGGACACCTGGTTTGTAATAAAGAAGCCAGAAATATACACTGGACCAAAGACATCTTCAACAAACAGTGCTGGTCAAACCTGATGGTTGCATGTAGAAGACTGTTATTGGCTTGCACAAAAGTTAACTTAAGGAGACAAAGGATCTCAACATAAAGGCCAGATATGCTGAAACTACTGATTAGTATAGTTAAAGACTTACTAAAGGCAGTGGTGGTGCACACCTTTAATCCCAGCACTTGGGAGACAGAGGCAGGAGGATTTCTGAGTTCGAGACTAGCCTGGTCTACAGAGTGAGTTCCAGGACAGCCAGGGCTACACAGAGAAACCCTGTCTCGCAAAACCAAGATAACAAAAACAAAAAAGACTTTCTAAACAGAACACCATTAGCACAGACACTAAGTACAGCAATTAATAAATGGAACCTCATGAAACTGAGATGCTTCTGCACTTTAAAGATCACCATTATCATCTGACAAAGTGGCAGGCTATAGAATTGGAAAAGATCTTTATCAACTACCCATGTGATAGAGGGTTAATATCTTTTTTTAAGGTTTTGTTTATTTATTTATTTATTTATTCATTACATGTAAGTACACTGTAGCTGTCTTCAAACACCCCATAAGAGAGCATCAGATATCATTGTGGATGGTTGTGAGCCACCATGTGGTTGCTGGGATTTGAACTCATGACCTCTAGAAGAGCAGTCAGTGCTCTTAACCACTGAGCCATCTCACCAGCCCGAGGGTTAATATCTAAAACATATAAATACAAGAAACTAAACAATTAGAAAAAAATAATCCAGTTGAAAATGAGGTACAGAACTAAACAGTTTCAATAAATGAAATACAAATGGCTGAGAATCACATAAAGAAATGTTCAACATCCTTAGCCATCAGGGAAATGCAAATCAGAGCTACTTTTGGATTTGATCTTACACCATTCAGAATGGCCAAGATGAACATAAGGCATAAGGGGACACTCACCCACTGATGGTGGGACTACAAACTTATATATAGTCACTATGAAAATCAGTGTAGTGCTTCCTCAAGAAGTGGGAATCGATCTACCCAAAGAACTCTACATATACCCGAAGAATTCTATATCCTAGTATGGAGACACCTACTCATTCATATTCATTGATGCTCTATTCATAATAACAGAAATTTGAAATAAGACTAGATATCCATCAACAAATAAATGGATGATGAAAATGTGGTACATTTACAAAATGGAATCTTATTCAGCTGTTTAAAAACATCAAAGTCATGAAATTCTTTTTTTTGTTTGTTTTTGTTATTTTGTTTTTCGAGACAGGGTTCCTCTGTGTAGCCCTGGCTGTCCTGGGACTCACTCTGTAGACCAGGCTGGCCTCATACTCAGAATTCTGCCTGTCTCTGCCTCGCAAGTGCTGGGATTAAAGGCATGCGCCACCACCGCCCAGCTAAAGTCATGAAACTTGCAGGTAAAAATAAACGGAGCTGAATGAGGTATCTGAGACCCCAAAGTATGGCATGTACTCTTTTCTATTTGGATGTTAGCCTTTAAGCCTTTGACAGGGATGCTATAGCCCTTATAACCATAGGTTAGGAATAGAACAAGGGACCAGCAGGAGGGGAGGATCTTCAAGGAATGGGAATTAAAATAGTTATAGAAAGACGGTAATAAGAAGATTAAATGGTGAGGGAGAGCAGCAATAAGTCGGGGAGAATAAAGAGATTACAGGGATAAACAACTAACACTGTCATGTAAGGGACCATATGGAAACTGACTACAGTAGAAGCTTCTTAAAATACATACATACATGAAAGAAATCAAAATAGAGTCACCAAATAACAGATGAGACAGAGCCCCAACTAGTTATTTTTCTGGATCATATGAAGCCTCCAGTGTGAGGAACAGGATACATCTAGTTGAGTGACTAGTCAAAGGGGCCCCATGGAAATTCCCAAGCTAAGGCTATTACAAAGGCTACTATTTGCTCTCCACAAAGTGATGGTTAGGCACTATTGCTGAAGGCAACACCTACATATCTCACTGAACATGGAGAAGCTGAGCTGGTGCCTAACTAAAGCCTTCAGTTCTACTGCCTGGTGTTCATGGTACTGGGAGTATTTTATTATAGGCTACCAAAGGAAAAAGGTAACCACCAACCTAGCTACAAACCCTTCACTCTACAATGGTGACCAGCCTATGATAAGCTGGTGCAATAGTGGTACAGTGAACATTGCAGAGTAACCAACCAACCACAATTAGATAGGTAAACTCTTTAATTTTCTTACAATTTTATTAACTTTACATAAAATTATTAAGATCTCTGTAAGCATTGTGATGTCTGTCTCAAAAGAGTTGAAATAAGATATAACACATTACATATCTCTCTCATACTTGGATAAAATATTTCATGGAAAAGTTTCTCAAGGTATGGCTCCTACATCAGCACTTGATATACTAAGAGTATTTATTTGCAATCAAGTAGGAAGAACTGAGGAAGAATAAAACAAAGCAAATCTAAGTAGTATATCTATCTACAAAAAAGAATTATCACTATTGTTGATATGCAAAATCTTAAATTAACTTCAACTAAAAAAAACATAAGCTAGAGACAAAATCTATGCAAGTATAACAAAATAATTCTTGGGTCTAAAATATCCTTTAGGATGTAGGACATGCACAGAATGTGGTGTCATTTGCCTTTAATCTCAGCACTCAGAGAGAAAGGCAGCCAGATCTGAGTCCAAGGATAGCCTGATTTACATAGTGAGTTTCATGACAACCAGAGCTATATGGTGAGACCCTGTCTCAAAACAAAAAAAAAAAAAAGAAAAAAAAAAAGAAAAGAAAACAATGTAGGATGCAACAGTCACTCACTTTCTAAGAACTCTTTCAAGTCCTACTTTTCTAAATAAGGAAAAGAAAGCTTTGGAATAATTAACATTGACAATTCTTATTCTTAATACTATCAAAGTATTTCTAACTTTCTGCTTTCTAGACAGAAATTAGGCTTTTTAGTAGGATCTGCTTTTGGTAAGTGAAATGAAAAGAAAAATGGTCAGTGTCCTCTCCAGTACCAGGACACCATTTACTACTTTTTAGTTTCTGCCTTATATTCATGAATGAAGGCCACATCAAAGTCCCTAAGGAAGCTCTTCAATAAGGCTCCACCGTGTCCTTACTATAAAGTATATGAGCTATTCATATCTGTTATTATTAAATACCTACCAGGTTTGCTGTAGACACAGTTGTGGTATACACACTGGAAGTTTCATAGCCTTGTTCTAAAGGATATAGCCAAAGTAAAAAAAAAAGCATTATTTTTTGTTTGAAATACCATAATGAAGAATATCAAATTAAATCTAGATCTCACTAACCTGAATAAAGATAATCTCCATGATATCCTCCTCCTCTTCCTCCTCCTCCTCCTAGAAAACAGAGAAATATGTGTACACAGATCTTTTTAACATGACAGAGCAAAATTGTCAGTAACTGCTTTTTCTTGAGTTTTATGGGCATATTTTCACAACTAAAATACATATGTGGTTCAAAGTGATTTGAGCTTTCCTATTAGTCAACAGAAGACAAGGTAAGCTATCAGAAGTTTCTGTTCAATTTTTTTCTTAGGTGTCAAGAATATTTTCTTCTATGTAAGTATCAGAGTGAATGTTTGAATAATCTTTTTTTAATAAAGTCACTAAAAATGCCACTTACTTCCTTAATGTACACAATTCTTCGGGACTGTTTCAATAGTACTGTATTATTGACTGGTAGATAGTAAAAACAAATGCCATGGTACAAAGAAAGTAACAGTTGCTGGGCGGTGGTGGCACACGCCTTTAATTCCAGCACTTGGGAGGCAGAAGCAGGCGGATTTCTGAGTTTGAGGCCAGCCTGGTCTACAGAGTGAGTTTCAGGACAGCCACCAGGGCTACACAGAGAAACCCTGTCTCGAAAAACCAAAAAAAAAAAGAAAAAAAAAAGAAAAGAAAAAAAAAACCAGAAAAGTAACTGTTAAGTCCATTCAGACAGCTAAAGACAACTTTTAGCTTGCTATATAAGAATGGGTGGCTTTGGGGGATAATGAAAATGCAGAGCTGATTGTGTGAGTGCACCAAAAAAAATCCACAGTCAATTGTACACTTTAAAAAATGTATCTGCCATTATCAAGAGTATAGCCTTTGCTATATTATCAGCTTTCGAATCTCAGTTTCCTCATATATAATACAGGGATGCCCTATTTCCCAAAGCACAGTAAGGAATGCCATTAAATTATAATTATTTACTGGAATGGATAATATATAACATTCAATAAATGTTTTTGGGTTTTTTTTTTAATTTTTTTTGGGGGGGGGTTCGAGACAGGGTTTCTCTGTGTAGCCCTGGCTGTCCTGGAACTCACTCTGTAGACCAGGCAGGCCTCGAACTCAGAAATCCACCTGCCTCTGCCTCCCAAGTGCTGGGATTAAAGGCGTGTGCCACCACCGCCCGGCTCAATAAATGTTAAAATGTTGAATTTAAGTAAAAAAAAAAAAAAAAAGCTCTTTGGGTTATCTAGGCTCTGGATTGGAAATTAGGTCCTCAGATCTGCATAGCAGCACTTAGACCCACTAAGTATCTCACCACCCCCAATCTTATACTTCAAGTTACTAGAAAAGGTGTGAAACATCAAAAGTGTTTCCAAGTTCTCATATACATATGCCACAACAATCATCTTTTCAAATATTACTAAGCACTAACTGACTCACCATTATCACAGTGGTCATTACTGTCTTCTGAATTCAAAGTTGGTTTGCATGAGTTATAGCCCTGCCTTGCAACACAGTATCCTGAAGTAGCAGGAACCATTGCAGTTGGACCACCATTGTTCTGTACCAAAGAAAGACATATATACACAGAGCTTTACTATATATAACCCGAAGAGCTTTTTTTTTTTTACTTAAATTCAACATTTTAACATTTATTGAATATTATATATCATCCATTCCAGTAAATAATTATAATTTAATGGCATTCCTTACTGTGCTTTGGGAAATAGGGCATCCCTGTATTATATATGAGGAAACTGAGATTCGAAAGCTGATAATATAGCAAAGGCTATACTCTTGATAATGGCAGATACATTTTTTAAACTTGAGATACAATTTACATACCAAAGAAAGACATATACACAGAATTCCTCCTGTATTAGTCAGAAAAAAAGGCTAGAAGGAAGTTCTAAGTCAGTTAATGGAAACTAAATTCTGATATACTATTTAAGAGAAAGATGTGGCTGTTTTAATATTTCAGAATCCAAAATAGGTGAAGCAAGAAAACAGAATATTTTAGTTCACATATGCCAGACTGCTTAAATCTGTTATTTTCTTCTATGTAGCAGCTTTAAGACCTGTCTTTTCATAACTTCATAGTATGTGAGGATTTTTACTCAGTTCTTCATACAAAAATGTGAAATCAGGGCTGAGGATATAGTACAGAGGTAGAACACCTTACATGTGCAAGGCCCTAGTTTTGATACTTGGATATGGGTAGGTAGAGGTGGAAATCATATATATAACATGTCTCCATAACACCTTAAAAAGGCTTTTTCAGTGAAGCTTTCACCCACTTACAGGTAAGGTTGAATAAGCAGTCTCATTCCCTTCTTCAAGTGCATAAAATGTAACAGATTCTTCCACTCCATTCTCTGGAGCAAAATCATATTGGCATCCCTTATTCATGCAATGCATCTGACGATGGCTACGCCTAAAAGAACTTAATTTGAAAATCAAAATGAGGAAATACATTAAACATGGTAGTAGTTTGCTTCTAATACAAAGAAGTAATTTCAGACAGGAATCTAAATTTTAGGCTAGAACAAGGAAGAAGGCTTCAGACATGAAAATAATCTTGGGCTAGGACAGAGAAGTAGGCTCAGATATTTTGGTCATCCTGATAAGCCCTTAGAAACAGTGATCACAGAAGTGTTCATGGAACTTTGTTTACTGCCTTGCTTGTTCTTTGACTATTAGTGTTTATTGTCTTGCTTGTTCTTTGACTATTTGCATCTATTGTATTGCTAGACCCTCAACCTAGAACTGACCTTGATACTTGCATGTAATCAAAATGGTATAAAAGCATAAAGGAGGAGGGGGGATGGGATGGGGGTTCTAGGGAGGAGAAATAGGGAAAGGGGATGACATATGTATTGTAAATAAATAAAATATCCAAAGAAAGAAAGAAAGAAAGAAAGAAAGAAAGAAAGAAAGAAAGAAAGAAAGAAAGAAAGAAAGAAATGTCTTAGTAAAAGGTAAATATCTCAAAGCAGATGTTTTTAGGTTTAATTTAAGTATACATATGCTTTGTTTGCATGTATATCTGTAAACCATGTGTGTCTGGTGCCTGCAGAGAGAGATCAGAAGTATCCCCTGGAACTAGAGTTGTTAGCTCTCTAGTAGGTTGTTAGCTACCAAGTGAGTACTGGGAATTAAACCCAGGTTTTATAGAAGGACGGCCAAAATTACTTTTAATCTCTAAGCCATCTCTCCAGCCACAAACTGAGGTTTTGGAAAGTTGGTGTGCATATTATCATTGCTTAGCAATAAAAACCACACACAAATGTTTTCCCTTAACTTGTAACATTTTAAATACTTACCGAGACCTATAGGACACATTATCATAGCTCTGGCAGCACTTTTTGCCTGAGCCAGAGGAAGACCCAACTTTAGGATTTGGTGTGTTTTGTTTGTTTAGAACGTGAGATGAATCCCTAAGAATAAACATAAAGAAAAACAATTATTTAATTCTTGCCAGTCTCAATCAATAGTTAAGTAGAATTAACAATGTTTTCTGAAAACATTCAATAAGAAAGACTTTGACTGGTATTGGACCTATACAGTATTAATGGATACAAACACATATTTTATATAAATATTCATTTCAGGTGGCATTCTATCTTTGAACATCTCATTTCTCTAGACAATGAAAATACAAATATGCCAGACAGTGGTGGTGCACGCCTTTAATCCCAGCACTTGGGAGGCAGAGGCAGGCGGATATCTGAGTTCGAGGCCAGCCTGGTCTACAGAGTGAGTTCCAGGACAGCCAAGGCTATACAGAGAAACCCTGTCTCGAAAAACCAAAAAAACAAATATGACAATGGATGTTAAGGGTAAGAATGTCATCTGCAGTACGTTCTCTACTATAAAAGTTGTAGTTAACAATTCTACTATAATTCAGTTCAGGAATTGTTTCTAAAAACCCAAAGAAAAGACATACATCATCATAAAACTCAGATCATTCTTACCTGGGCATCCCATATCCCCGACCTTGTTTTTGAGATGAATGTTGAGGGTAAAAATGTTCACTAGACATAATACGGCCAGCTGTCTGTGAGTAGTACAGTAGAGGGTCATGGCCATAATGCATACTATGCTGAATCCTGGGTGTGACAAGGGGGTCCCCCCTGCTATAAGCCATGGTCATATAAATCTCTTTCCCTCGAAATTTCTTGAACATCTTCTTCCGTTGCTTCATGTTCATATCTGTCATAACTTTCAGAAAATACATAGCAAATGAGCTTTATAACCAAAGTAAAAGGTCATGTACCGTTGCCCTCAATATACTTTTGCTTTTGAGATGTCTTCTTTGAAAATATTTAAAATCTGTATCAGTTTAAGTTATATGAGCCGGACGGTGGTGGCACACGCCTTTAATCCCAGCACTTGGGAGGCAGAGGCAGGCGGATTTCTGAGTTCGAGGCCAGCCTGGTCTACAGAGTGAGTTCCAGGACAGCGAGGGCTACACAGAGAAACCCTGTCTCGAAAAACCAAAAAAAAAAGAAAAAGTTATATGAGCTCAAGTCCCTCCTAATGAGTGTTATCTGTCAATGTCCAAAGACAATTTTATTGTTACAACTGGTCAAGAGGCTATTAGAATCTATGACACAGATGCTAAGGATCACTCTAGAATATAGAATAACCCTCTCCTCTCCACCAAACCATTAGCTATGGAAACACACTAGAGTGGAAGAAATACTACTCTGTAACAGGACATATGGTATACCTTTAAAAACTTTTTTTTTCCTTTTTTGTTTCTTTGGGACAGGATCTCTCTGGGAAGCCCTGACTATCCTGGAACTCACTCGGTAGACCAGGTTGTCCTTGATTTCATCAAGAGCCACCTGCCTCTGCCTCCCAAGTACTAGGATGAAAGGCCTGTATCACCACTGCCCAGCTAAAAAGTAAAATTACTTGTAAGTAAAATAAACTACAACTGAAAACAAAAAAACACAAGAAAAACCTTTAGGATACAAACCTATTTCAGGGAAATAGCCTCCAGTTATAGTCTGGTAACCTCTTCCATTACGAAGTGGTATAGCATTCCAGGCAGGAAGAAGTGCCACTTGGTTGACTGGTCTTACGTTGGCCAACGGAATTGGATGCCTTGAAGTGAAAGTTATCATGACCCCATTATAACACACACTTTACTCTCATTCAATACACTAACGTAGCCTTCTTACTTTACACATTACCTTTTTCTGTTTTTCTTGGAAACAAAGTCTCACCATGTAGCCTTGGCTGTACTCCTTACATAGACCAGACTGGCCTCAAACTCAAGTGATTTCCCTCTTCAAACTCCTAAGAGTTAGATTTAAAGCATGTACCACCACCCCTGGATCAAGTGCATTTTTGTTAAGTCTGTGTAATTACACTAGCTTTCCTATACATTTGTTGGTTTTTTTCTCCTTTAGCTTAGACAATCTAAATGTAGTTTATATAACTTCACAGGTGTTTTATAGTGTCTATTACATCCAGAAGAAATATTATGGTAGACTATATAGTTCCTTTCCACGAAAGAGGGTATTTCCTAACCTGACTCATATGAGGCTTGAGTATATAAATTACAGTTACACTGACAGTAAAAAATAAAGTATCTTTACAAGTATCAAACGTTGTGTCATGGTCCCATCTTTTCCTTGGGATCGTGAAAGCTTGTTTTAGAACAAATCCTTTAGCCTGACACTGACTATAAGCTCAAGGCCACCTGCACAACTAGTTAAGATTGTCTCAAAATAAAAGGTAGTAACATACACATAAATAACATTAGATAAACTAAATAGGTTATATTTAGAAAATGTATGCACACATGTGCATGTAACAATAATTAATAAAAAAAAGTCCATGTGTTTGATTAAAGAGAGGTAGTATATTGTAGCAATTAGAGGGATGAAAGGGAAGGAGTAAATGATGTCATTCTATTGTCATCTCAAAAATAAAGTACTTTTTAAAAGTAATAGCCAGGGATGGGGGATACACCTATTTTGATATTTAATTTTTTAACGTTTACTTTTATTAATCAAAATAATTAGCTCAGCAGATAATAATTCTGGTGCTCTCAACTAGCATCCTGAAGTTCTCGATTTAATATGAGCACCTGGCAACTTTAATTGCTATACAGTCTTACCTTTCTCCAAATTCCTCAATGAAAACTACTACTGAATTTTTATCAATATCAATTTCCTGAATGTGAGCATTATAATATTTTCCACCTGGTTCCATGCAAACCTGAAAGACCGAAAAAGGGAGTCATATATTAATTCATCTGGTCTTGTCCACTGACAAATCTGTGTTTAGTCAAACAACCATCTCTACAAATGTAATTCAATGTTTACTTTTTTACCGTAACTGACATCATGGCTAGTCTATGGGGCATTTATCAGCTTACATCTAAATTTCATAAAGTCTGTAATTAAAATTTAACACAATACAAACAAGGAAATCTTTCTCTTAGCATTTTGTAAGGTTCTGATCAATGTCTTTGTTGCTGTATTAAGGACCCAATCCAGAGCCTTAGACATGCTGGCCAAGTATTCTATCACTGAGCTATACCCTCAACCACTGTTTTATTCAGACAAGGTCTTAGTATAGCTATAAAGCTATAACGTCTAAATGTAAATGTATGATTTTCTTTCCTAAGCGCTATGATGTCAGACAGGTATTACTAAGCCCAGAATAACCAACTCACATTACTGATTTAAAGTACAATCTAATAGAAACAAATCATCATCTTTGAAGAAGAAACTAACCTGACACTTGTCTCCTAAATAGTAGTATCTTCCACCATACTCCACACAATCTGATTTTTGAAGTTCTATTAGAAGAAATAGATGATTAAAGCTCAATTTTAAGTTATCCCTTTCTTACTGCACATAATTTATCTCATTTACATTAACAAAAAGTATTTGACAATGCTATCATTAGAAGAAAAAATGTCCCAAAGAGCCATTCTAACAACCTTGATGAATTATTACTATGGTGAATTTATTAAATAACCCTGCCAGACAGAATAGTTCTACACTGTAAAGCACTTCAATACAACTTTAATCTAATTAAAGTCACAATTCTGAAAGTAAAACCAACCAGTCTCATGCACATGTGTATATCCATTTATGTATATTTCTTTTACTTACATAATACAAGGCCTTAACTTCATTCTAATTAACTATACTGATTTCACTAAAGTTCAAGGAGTTGAATGTGAGACATTAATATCCTGGTGGACAGTATATTAAAGTCTAGTTTGATGAATTCAGCTATGTATCTAGAGCAACCAATAATCTATAGTAAGAGTTCTTTTTGTAAGTATGTTCTATAAAGAGCCAAACAGCAAATTTTAGATATCCTAGGGCCACCACACTTTCAAAAGTACTCAATTCTGAGGCAGGCAAAACCAGGTGAGAGCACTTGTCACTGAATACTCAAAATCTGTCCACTAGACTAAGTAGTGGTAACACACACCTTTAATGTCAGCACTCAGGAGGCAAAGGCAAGAGATCTGAGTACACAGTCAACATGGTGTACAGAATAATTTCCAGAATAGCCAGGACTACATGAAGAAAGTCCCTCTCAATAAAACAAAGGAAAAAGAATAAAATTTGTACTCCGATTTCCCACATAATCTACCACAGCACCTCACCTGACCATATATATAGATACATACACAAAAAATAAATGTAATTAATGAAAATACTCCATTCTCCTATAAAACTTAATAAACACTGAGGTTTGAATTATGTAATTATCATGTCTTTTTTTAACAGTGTGATGAAACCATATCTTATTATAAATAACTTGCAAGATAATCCCCTGTATCCTGCTGATATTTTATTACCTTTTCTAGTGTCCAACCAAGCATCAAATTCTATGTTGCGATAGATTTCTGGATCCAGAGCTTTCAGTACTTTATAGGGAAACAGCATCTTTGATGGATTTTCTGGAACCTGAAACAAAAATAGTCATCTTTAAAAATCATTCTTTTATGAGGAATGAATGAAGATTCTTTTCTTCTTTTAAAAACTAGAGGACTGGAGAGAAGCTTCGCGGTTAAGAGCACTGGCTGCTGAGCTTAATTCCTAGCAACCACATAGTGGCTCACAACCATCTATCATGGGATCTAATGCCCTCTTCTGGCACAAAGGTATACATGCATTAAATAAACAAACCATATATAATTCCTCCCTTTCCTTTGCTATAAAAACAAAACATAGCACAAAATACTATGTAGTTAAAAACAAGAGACTAAAAAAGGAGCAAGGTAGGCATAAAACCAACTAGATGTTACATATAGAAATACTTGTTTCTTCAACTTCAAGAAATGATGATTAGCACTTAATTTTGTAATTATAGGCAAGTGTTGATAAAAATGAAGCAATGTCAGAATACTTACTACAACTAATTATCTATTAAATTTTTATTACTACTTTAATTTCAAAACAAAAGCTTATGAAATGACTCAAGTGTTCAGAGAGTCAGTTACAAAAATTCTAGTACTTAAGAATAAAACTCACAAAATAAATATTTCACACTTTTGAACATGTAAGATTTTCATGAAGGAAAACATAAACTACTTCTTTCCCAGCTTATATAATTAGAATGGACTATCTGGTCTTATTTTAAATTATGGTGTTTTAAGACAAGTGTAAGAACATTCTTTGCCTGAGAAAGTATCAAACCTTTTGTTGTTCTGTTCCTTGCTTATTGCTTTCTGGTGTACTTGCAACACTGGAACAGGCTCCAACCTCTTCACTTCTAATTGAAAAGATTCAGAGAAAAGAACATTATATTAGTTTAGCTGTTACTTGTCTCATGTCTCACAACTATGCTACTACTCAGTGGTAAAGTAGTTCAATCGTAATCCTAAAATATAAAGCAGGTAAGTTTCCAACACATCTCCATTAGGTTTCTTTGGTAAGTATGTGTTACAAAATACTTGGCAAGTTATTTCCTATTAAGATGGTCTCTGTGGTCCTGACTCCTAATGTATAGCTTCTGATCCTCTGCCGTCAGACAGCTTCTAATCTTAGACAACTTATAGAATTATACTACAAACACACAAATACATAAATACACACACATTGCCCCACCATCTTGATGATTTCTCATTCCTCTGCTGCCAGAAAAGTAAAAAGCCCTGTTCACCGAGCTGAGTGTATGAGACTATCAGCCAACAAGAAGAAGAAAAATAAAGCAACTAAAGCCAACTAGCTAGAAAGAATTAAATGCTACCAAGAACCATTAGTAGGTATTTCCCAAAGTTTCAGTTCAGACCTCACTCCTGGCCAGTTCCTTCATTAGTCTTCTGACACCAACAGTGAACTAACCATGAGATGATTTCTAAAGCACACAGTTATAAGATCAATGTTATCTTAAGCTGACAGGTATTCGGTAATATGGCCTTTTCTAACCTTAAATTCAAAACCCTTAAAGAATCATCAAACGGAGCAATTTTCATTTGATAAGATTCCTCATGGTCCCAAATAAGCTTTAAAAACTATTCTTCTGTGGGTAAGCAAGATGCCTTGGTGCTGCTAAGATAACTCAAGATGCTAAGCCTGATGAACCTGCGTGTAATATTTTTAAAAGCAGATTCTTAGATACAATCTAACCTCAAATGTTGTGCTAGGAGGCCCAAAAATTTGTATAATCAACAATGAGTAACTTGTGTACAACTAAATTTTAAGGAATGCCAATTCTAAAGTCTATCTCCTATACTGAAAAAAAGAGGATTTTAACTTGAACTCTTTTAAGTCTCAACATTTCACAATACAATTTGGTAAAATTGTGTCCTCTCATTAAAAACAATATATCCCTAACAAACATGTATGTACATACATATAACCAGACTATTTCTTCTTTCATAAAAGAGATATGAAAATCAGAATAGAAAACTCTTATCTTTTTAGTACCTATCTTGGGTTGAGTCCTTCTGATCAGTATTGCCTTCTACATTTGCAGTCAAAGCATTGTGTTTGTTTCTCCTGGAACCACTTCGAAACAAATCAACTGCAGTTTTCAAGGTTTCTTCATCCACAACAAATACATCTTTATAAAGAAGTTCATATAATATAGCTGAAGAAGAAAAAAAGCCAAAATCCCAATTGTCAAAATAAGACTCTTCATATCAATGTGAATACATTCATAAAGCAACAGATATGTTCCAAAGGTACCAACAAAGGCCGTTATAAGACTGATAGTGTTATCAGTTATAACAAACCATCTGAAACCACACATTCATATTTGTAAAAGCCCTTCATATACCTTGACAAATTCCTGCAGTTGATTGAAATTCCTTTGAATATACAGAATCATAATGGCCATTATTTGAATAACAGAGAAGAATCTGAAAAAAAAATACAGAATTATGTTAGTGTTAACGTCTTACAACCATAAAAATTAAGATGGTAATCAGCAGTTAATAAATAAATGGAATTTTATTCTTAGAAGACATTTAACCAACCTTGATTTAGAATCAATCTGTAACTCATAATGTAGTTTTAACTAAGACTTTTAAATATCAAGATTGAAAACATACTACGAACCCCAATCACATTCCTGAAATGCATTAAACATGTCCTGAATCATCTGCAGTAAGATGAGAACTTTCACAAATTCAGTAATTAAAACAGAAAATCCATGTCAGAAGTCCAACTTCTCAGGATGATTGGAAAATTATGTAAAATATCTCATGTCCAAATATCCAAAATTTAGACAGAAGGAGGAAAAGGACAGACAGCCAAACAATTTGTTTAAAAAGCAGAAAAAGTCATTGCAGTCAATAGAAATGTAAGAATATACCATTTAGAAAAGGTACTTCCAGATTTAAGTTACTGATATGGATTATGGATACAGAAACAAGAGGCTATCTTCTTAGCTAATTCCTTCAATTTCCAGCACTTTACAAAACAATTTCAGAGCCATGTTTATTAAATAAAACTTTTCACTTTCCTTTGATGAAATTTCTTCATGTAACAGCTCTAAACATTTTTGATAGTTTTGTTCAAAAATCTGTTTTGAATCAAGCATGTGTGAAAGAGCAATTCCAAGAGAAAAGCAAAACAAAAAAAATCTTAGCTATAGATGTAGTTTAGTCGTATCACACTTGTCTAGCATGCTCAAAGCCCTGGAATAAACTTACAACACTACACAGTAAGATGAGATTTCAACTTATACAACTGACAAGGGATGAATAGATAGAACTAAAATAAAAAACCAATAATCCAGTCAATAAATGGGCAAGCATAGTAAACAGTCAAATCTTAGAAGACTGTAGCGAATAGCAAATAAATACACGAAAAGATGGTCACTATTATTAATCATCAGGGATATGAGAATTACCACAACTCCAGCTCACTCGAGACTGAAAGGTTGCCATTACAAAACCAGGACCAGCAAGCCAGCTAGCCCAACAAGTAAAAGCAAGTCTGATTGGAAATATGTAACTGCAAAGAACAAATAATCTTAAAAATGAGCCTAGCCAAGTGTAGTGGCACAAGCCTTTAATCCCAGCACATGGAAGGCAGAGGCAGGCAGACCTGTGAGTTCGAGTCCAACCTAGTCTACACACTGAGTTCTAGAACACCAAGGGCTATACAGAGAAACCATCTCAAAAAATGTAAATACAAATAAAAGATACATATAAATATCTAATATTTGAAGAGTATGAAGTCTATATATTCTAGATATATCTTAACTTTGTTTTCAATATATGTCATTCTACTTTTTCTAAGTAGAGCTTCTCTGATCAGTAAAGATAGCTTTTAGTAGCATTAACTTGAATATTAAATACATGTAGGAAAAGGAAAACAAGTCTATAGAATCCAGCAGAAGGGCTGGAGAGATGGCTCAGCGGTTAAGAGCACTGACAGCTCTTCCAGAGGTCCCGAGTTCAATTCCCATCAACCACGTGGTGGCTCACAACCATCTGTAATGGGGTCTGGTGCCCTCTCCTGGTGTGTCTGAAGAGAGCAATGGTGGTGTACTCATATGCATAAAAAAAATTAAAAAAAAATATCTTTAGCAGGGCGGTGGTGGCACACGCCTTTAATCCCAGCACTTGGGAGGCAGAGGAAGGCAGATTTCTGAGTTCGAGGCCAGACTGGTCTACAGAGTGAGTTCCAGGACAGCCAGGACTATACAGAGAAACCCTGTCTCGAAAAAAACAAAAACCAAAGAAAGAATCCAGCGGAAGGTCAACATAAAAGTAAAAATATATAAGGTGAACAAACAGTGGGCATTTATGTCTTTGAAGGATTACTCTTAATTATATCTTAAAAGGGGGGGCTGGAGAGATGGCTCAGCGGTTAAGAGCACTGACTGCTCTTCCAGAGGTCCTGAGTTCAAATCCCAGCAACCACATGGTGGCTCACAACCATCCGTAATGAGATTGGATGCCCTATTCTGGTGTGTCCGAAGACAGCGACAGTGTACTCATAATAAAATAAATAAATAAATCTTTAAAAAAAAAAAATTATATCTTAAAAGGTTCATTAGTAATATCCACTAGCAGGACTAGAGATGTGGTTCCATCAGTAGAATACTTGCCTATCATGTGTGAAGCTCTTGAGTCTGATCCTCAGAGCTACAAAACTTACCAGGTATGATGGTGTATACCTATATCCCTAGACTGTGGGAGATTAGAGCAAAGGAATCAGAAATTCAACGTCGTCATCCTCAACTATATAGTCAGTTTGAGATACTCAAGACCCTACTGGAGGAGGAGGAAGAGGAGGAGGAAGAAGAGGTAAGGAGGAAAAAAACCCTATGGGGTCTGTGAGATAGCTCAGAGGGAAGGTGCTTGCTTATAGAGCCATCCTGGGAATGAGAGTTCAAATCCTGGAATCCATGGTAGAAAAAGAGAAACAATTCTCAAGTTTCCCTGGGACCTCTAAAGCCAGTACCAAGCACACAAACATATACATCTGCACTCATAAATATACATACCACACATACTGTAACAATAGTAATTTAAAAAAAAACCAAAAACTGACTAACCTAGTACTCAGGAGGCAGAGGCAGGCAGATCTCTGTGAATCTGAGGCCAATCTGTTCTACATAGCGAGTTCTAGGACACCCAGGACTACATAGAGAGAGCCTGTCTCAAAATGAAAGAAAACAAAAAGAAACAAAAAAACAGAAAACCTAAATAAATAATGCCCAACTCTAATAAAATCACTTTTGAAACCTCAGCAGTTCAAATATAAATAAATCTTAAGCGAGTCTGGAGTTAGAGGTGTAGCTCAAATATACAGTACTTGCCTACCATGTATGATGATCTAAACAACCACAGAACCACAAAAATGAATAAATATATTTAAGGAAAGAAGCCTTGACTATAATGTTTTAGGCAAAACAATGTGTTTCAGAAGCAGGGAGAAAGGAAGATAAGTCAATGATAATAGTGCCTGCATACGTAGAATAAGACCTTAGGTCTGATTCTCAATTACACACACACACACACACACACACACACACACACACACACACACACAGAGAGAGAGAGAGATAGAGATAGAGAGAAAGAGAGAGAGAGAGGGAGGGAGGGAGGGAGGGAGGGAGGGGGAGAGGGAGGGAGGGGGAGATGGAGGGACAGAGAGAGACAGAGACAGAGAGATTATACAATTAAAATGTTTAACCTTTTTTTAAAAAATAGAGTGGAAACAGGAAGACCCCTAAGATGAACTTTTGGCTATCACAAGTACATTGGCCAAGTATACCCACAAACATACATACATATACCACACCTATACATGATAAAATTTTTAAAACTTATAAAGAAAACAAAAGATGTACATTCCTAAAGGGAATGTAAACTAAGTACAAATACTATGGAACTCAGTCTGGAGGCTTGTCAACAAACTAGAACTACTAGATAATCAGTTTTCTGAGTCCTGGGTGTATACCCAAAGGACTCTAAGTAAATATATTAGAGATACTTGTACAGCCATGTTTACTGCTGTACTACTCAAGAGTTTAGGAATTGGCCCAGGCTAGACATCTACCAAAAGATGAAAATGGGTAAGAATGTGGCATATGTGTACAACAGAATCTAGATTTCAATACACATGTGTGCTATAAAAATAGAAAGAGAGCCAAGAGCAAGAAGAAAGAAATCTTAAAAGGAGTGTGCAGGGGGAAAGGGGCTAAAAGTCATGTGATGTGAAAGCATAAGGCTCTTTTTTAAGAGGAAGGGCATTATCACAGTGGGAGGGGGCAGAAGAGGAAGGTAGCAGGGGAATAGAGTAAATTAGAAAAAGGTTATCATGACACATGCATATGAAAATGTCACAATGAAATAAAATTTTTTCAATGGTAACAAAAATATCTGCATGGACTAATTTTTTAGAGTTTGCCGCAAAGTTTTATTAGTTCCATTTACTTATGCTAACTTGTTAGGATTTGGGGTAGTAGATCTCAAAGTTATTTTACTGTTGCATTTATTTAACAAACATGCGTATTTCCCATATGTATACAGTGCTTTGTCCGTGGACAACGTTTACTTTTACCATCAAACAGTTTAACTCTTTTTACACTTGTGAATTTTAAGGGGCTAGAGAAGTGGTCCGGTGAAAAAGAATACTAGCTGCTCTTCCAGAGGACCCAGGCTCAATTCTCAGAACCCATATTACTCCAGTTCCAGGGAGCTGATCCCTTTCCTCTGGCCTCCTCAGGCAGCAGGCACACATGTGGAATACAGAGAGACAATCACATAAAACACCCATATATATAAAACAGTTAAGCCAACTCCTTAACACTGTATAATTACAAAGTCTTTATTGGCATAGAGAAAAAAATCAAAAAGCAATGTAATACAGCAAGGGAAACTAAATACTGCATCATTTTCCTAATAATATCCTAGCAGTATGCATATGCCTTATATATGCTACTTTGGTTTGCACACATACTCAGTCTGATATTTCTACATTCTTATGGTTCTAACGAGTGACAGTTCCATTAACTATCTCAGTATATGCAAAATGGACAAGACTTGTTTAAAAAAAAATAGTAGGAACTGCTACATGGTGTGTATACAGATAGTCACAATATTATTCTATGAACTACTCTCTAAGAAAAACTTCAGAATCAAGTATGGATTTAAAGATCCCTGATAACGCCGGGCGGTGGTGGCGCGGCAGCACTTGGGAGGCAGAGGCAGGCAGATTTCTGAGTTTTTTTATTCAATTACTGTAAGTGTCACAAAAGTTCTATTTCTAGCCTCATCTTTCCATCCTAAACTGTTGCCAGGATTATGTTTCATGGGATAAAATAAGACTTAAAAATCTCAGATATTCCACAGTCCCATACTAATTGAGTACTTAAGATAAATATGTTTTCCTCAAAAACTTTTGGAATACTCTTTTTTTTTTAAAAAAAATGCTCTTTGCCTTTTGAAAGTTTTCAAACACAATTACTTTGTACTATTTTTTAAGCACTTTACTAAAGCGTAAAACCTGTGACCCAAGACATTTCCAAACTGATTGAAGTAGATGAAAATATGAATATGAGGTGCTAAAACTAAGTATCATGGCTTAGAAACAAGATAGGGTACAAAATCGAAATGATTCGGAAAAGCTGGGAATGTTTCCAAGGAACTGATAACTGAGAGACAAAACAGTGGATCTAGGAAAGCTGAACTAGTAGGACTACACTACGGCCAGAATGAGACACTGAACACCTAGCTGCGGATTTAACCCTTATCTTCTAGTCAATAAGGAGTCAATTAGAGTTTTACGTGGCTTTGAGGGTTTTCTCATCACAGAGTGACATGAAAAATCTGTTTTAAAAAGTAGCAAATACTGGACTGGAGAGATGGCTCAGTGGTTAAGAGCACTGACTGTTCTTCCAGAGGTTCTGAGTTCAATTTTCAGTACCCAAATAGTGGCTCACAGTCATCTGTAATGGGAACCAATGCCCTCTCTTCTGGTGTGTCTGAAGACAGTGATGGTGTACTCGTATATATAAAAAGATATTTTTTGGGGCTGGAGAGATGGCTCAGCGGTCAAGAGCACTGACTGCTCTTCCAGAGGTCCTGAGTTCAAATCCCAGCAACCACATGGTGGCTCACAACCATCCGTAATGAGATTGGATGCCCTCTTCAGGTGTGTCCGAAGACAGCCAGCGACAGTGTACTCATAAATAAAATAAATAAATAAATCTTTAAAAAGATATTTTTTAAAAACTAGCTAATACCAATGAGGACAGCAGGCTAGAGAAGGAAAGGTTGCTTGCATAGAATGATATTACCAGTTATACAATATTTATCAGGTGACTCAGGAGCACAATGGTACTACATTGGGCTTCAATACTATGGTTACTGTTTTCACTAATTAAGTCAAAAGGGTTATTTCTAAATATTGTGGTAAGCCAGCATCATCATCCAACTTTTAGTCAGCATTCATTTTCCTACCTTGTCTTCAAAGCCATTATCTGTGACTTGAGTTGGTGGCTTTCCAGGATAACGATAAAGAATGAAATCTCGACTATACAGACAGAAAACAAAGATAGATATGAAGAGATTTAGTATATATATGTAGCCTTAACTTTTCTTAATTTCCCCACGAAGTGGCAATTTGAAGGATGATTTAAGCACTAAAGTATCTAAGATCTTTGCCCCACACTTTACTTGTCCTTGCAGGGTGTGGTGGCACAGGCCTTTACTCCCAGCACTTGGGGGGCAGAAGCAGGCAGATCTCTTTGAGGTCGAGATCTATACAAAGCTAGTCCAGGAGAGCCAGAGCTTCTTACACACAGAGACCCTGTCTCCAAAAACCAGGAACACATTGCCCTAATGACAACTATAAGAAATATTAAGTATTTAGGAAGTTTTAAAAGACAAGCTATTCTAATTTCCTACAGGAAATATTACCAGTTCAGCATAGTTTGTCTAAAGACAAGATCTTATCATGTAGCCCAATGTGGTCTTGAAATCAACTGTCTTGCCTCTGCCTCCATGCACAGTGCTAGTATTATAGCCATGTCCCAATAACACACCTGCCTTCCTCTTAATCTTCCTTTCAAACAGACACAAATTTTAGGACAGAACTAATAATGTTATTTACCCAAGAACTATTATCAAATGGATTTTGCTCAACCCCTTTTATTCTACATTATTAACTTATTAACTCCCAAATTTAATGAATCCTAAAAAGACTCTGACAGACATCATTCCAGTTCATATTCACATATTCCCTCTTTCATTATCCCTTTGGCCCCTTTCTTTGATACAACTTACTTGTAAATTAGAGAAAGAGCTTTTAGTTCCAGCTGGCCAGCACTCTCCTAAAAACATAAAGAGTTTTGAAAAACATTTTAGAACTCTTAAGAAGTAGTTTTCACAAGCTCAGCATGAATATCAGAAAATTAAAATAGCTACTCAATAATAAACAATTCAAAATAATGAACCCACAGTTCTTAGCCATAAAAGTATAAAAGTGTAACTCCTATTTTTTAAAAGGTAGTGGGATTTTTAGTAAATGTCTAAGTAAAAACAAATTAACATTAATAAATAAAAATTTTTAAAATATGAATTTGACTCCCACATAACAGAAAAATTAATTGGAAACTTTTTAAATTTTTTTTTTAAATCTCAGTAACATCACCACCCTTCTTTCCCATTGAAGTGAAAATGCTTTATTTAGTGTTTGTCAACACTGTCCTTTACCCAAGCAGTGTGTATTCTCAGTAAACTACAGAAACATAAACACAATTCTCAATATTCAACACAAAACAGCCCATTGCATCTTATACAATAGTTATTTCACTCAATCCAGTTTTGAGTCATTACAGCCATAGGAGTATGTTTAGGCTACTATTCCAAACAACTATAAAGATATTGGAACTTACCATGGGATCTCCCAACCGTTCCAGATATTTCTCAAAAGATCCCTCCACATACTTCAAAAAACAAAATAAACTTGACTTAGCCAAATCGTAGCATTATGGCAATCCAATTACACTCTACAGTTATCATCATCTCACGGGATTTTCCTTTTGAGATTATAATATACTTCTCTTGTATTTCAGACCCCGGACAAGCATTTTTTAACAAATCAAAGTGCACCTGGTCTGTGGGTTCAACCTGCATCCCTCAGCCCCTAACCTGTTACAAAGGATGGCTGGCAAACCCTGCCCTCCATGCTGAACCTTCCAACCCAGTAGCTGGGTTTTCCTCTCACCCAGTTGCTCTTCAGTATAGAATCCAGATCTTTTATCTCACTTCATGTCTTCTCCTCCCCCTCTCCACAACTCTCTGTGCACATCTCTTTTTCTTTCTCCCCCCATCTCACTCTATACTCTGTGCACTAATTTTCTCTTTACTTCCCCTCCCACTCTGGGGCTTGCTCTTGCTCTCAACTCTCTCCCTCTCCCTCTCCCTCCCCCTCCCTATGTCCCCCCCCTTATCTCCACTTCACTGACAGCCTCATTTGTGGTCTGTGAACTAGGTCTAGAGCCACCAATAACTTGACTTGAATTGGCACATTTTGTCAGGTGAGATAACTTATCAACTAGCACGCAATAAACAGAGTAATTTAAAATAGTGCAAATTTTGACAAAGAGACTACCACAAATAAGTGACATTGAAGATAATGAATTTATCTAACACACCCACAGGTGTCACCATGCCCTTCTAGTTTTATCTTAAAGGCAGGTTTAAATACTAAATAAACTTCACCTGAGGGGGATTGGGCTTTTAATGGTGTGTTTTACACATCTTTTGTTAGTCAAAATATGGTCTAGGAAGCAACACCCTTAATTTACAAGTTTGTTTAAAATGCAGAATCCTGAAGCATCTGAACAAACCTAAAGCATCAGAATTCATAGTTTAACAAAAGCTCCACTGTTATCTTAATCCACAGAATACTTGATATGCAGCATGGGTCATAGACTTGCATTTCAATGCTAGGAGCACTGTTTCTCCCAGGTGTGGAGAAGACTATAATCAGCAAAATTTAAAGAAGCATTTACAGGATTTTAAGTCACTGTTGAGAAAATTAAAAACAAACCTCTGAGGGCAGTGGCAACAGTCAATATACAGTCAAAAGAATCAAGTAGTTAAAAAGTCACAAGACACATACTTCAAATCTAACCTTGATAAAACTTAACAAAAATTAAGCTACTAAAATGTGTACAAAGCTGTTCTATAAAAGTTGTTTGAGCCGGGCAGTGGTGGTGCACGCCTTTAATCCCAGCACTGGGGAGGCAGAGGCAGGTGGATTTCTGAGTTCAAGGCCAGCCTGTTCTACAGAGTGAGTTCCAGGACAGCTCGGGCTATAAGGAGAAACCCTGTCTCGAAAAACCAAAAAAAAAAAAAAGAAAGTCAACCATAGGCGGAGAGTTTACACAATGTGTAATATTAAGACTAACAAATATTTCCTTAAAAATAAATTTTACAAAACTATTCAAATTGGCTGAGGAATACTGATTATAGATTAAAATGGACATTTCACAATATTAGCAAAGTCAAATCTAACAAGAAAAGTGGTACAAACAATACAAATCTGTGGTCAAAATATAAATGGTCTTAGGATTTGGTTTTGAGTGTAGAGTAAGAAAAAGACACAGATTGTTACTTCTTTTTTATCCATTGGTGTTCTGACAGTCTCCCTATACTGCTCAGACAGGCCAAGCTGGACTCAACTCTTATTCAGTATCCAGAGCATTGAGATGAGAGATCAGTGCTGGATTACAAACCTACACCAACAGGCCATTCTTAGTTTTTAATCAGCATAAAGCATATTTTCCTTTGAGGAAGAGGTACAAAAGCATGCTAGCTCTAGGAAGTCAGCTGAGAATTAAAGAGTTGCTTACTGAGAAAGTATAACCTTTTTGTACTAGGAACTAATAAATCTTTTTGCCCACTTACTATATACATTACCAACAACTCTCTTCAGTACATATATTCTACTTACAGACTCAAAAGCTTGTTGATTTTCCTTCATATATGAGACACAAGCTCTCCTGATATGTAAATGATGGATCTGGCTGTGAAACAACTATAAAAGAAAAGACTAGCTCACTGCCATGGCATTGCATTTCAAATAGAAGTTCCTAAATTAAGACTATGAATCAGACATTTAGTTTCCTAAACTAGAGCACATGTTGGAAACAGAGAAATTAAGTCCAGCTGCTACTACACCTGATCTTAGCCAAAGGCAAAGAAGCCATGCCTCCTCATGTTAAAATATGATCGGCTTTAGTGAGATTGAGGGTTAATGAGTCTGTCCTGGACTTTCAACCTCAACTTTGAACTTGTAAGGGTTCAAGCTACAAATCTTTTTTTAATTCATAAACGAGGAGTAACATGCTTAAAAAAGAACTGAGATTCATTTTAATGTTTTCTTTAACCTCACATTAATGTACCCCTCCCCGATTACAAACTGGCAGTGAAAAATCGAAACATAGACACAGGAGAACCGTATTTGCTCTTATCACAACTGCACACTATTTCCATCTGTACTTCTCAAGCAGGCCTGGATGTTTCCACTAACAAATGAAAAATACAGTTTTTGTTTCTTTCAGTATTCTACAGATTGTACTGGACCACGCCACATGTCACCCTGAAAACTTACAAACAAGACATTATCCATTTCTCACGCTTATATTTACCTGCTCCGAAATAGCACGAAAGAGGCAAGAGGCATCCTTGGCAATCACCTTTCGAAACAGCCCTAAACTGCCTAAATATTCATCCATTGAAGCCTCACTCAAAGACTTCTGGCCGCAGTACTTTTTCCATCCTTTATGCATTGTGCACGGGATGAGGAGAAAGGTACAGAGGAGTGGAAAAGAGGAAAACACAGAAGGCAGGGAAGAATAGGCAGTGGCCACAAGTACTGGAGCTTGTGTAGGCAGGTATCCGAAGCAGCTCAAGGTCTAGGCAGAAGGCAGTTGCGGCAGGGCTGCAGAATCTTGGCACTTCCCAGAAGCACAAGCAAGAGGCTGACTGGCGCAGGACAAGACAGGATCCTGTGGGAAACAAAAAAGAAGAGCAGATGCTCCAAAGAGTAAGAAACTGGAGGAGACAAGGGAGGAAGAAGGTAAACAGTTACAGAAAAAGGTGGAACTACAAAATCAGCTCAAGGCATAAAAAGTGACTAAGCAGCTGAACTCTGGAAATCTAAAGAGCTTGGGAAGCTACTTCAGGAGATTACAAAAAGACTCACGTGTGTAAAACAGCCTACACCACAGAGTGTTGAGATCACTCCCTCAATTTTCAAATAGTTTCTGTCCTTCAGGTGCCCTCCAGAGAGTTTACAGAAGTAGGGGTGTGGGGGGGTATTTAACCAATTCACTTTAGTATTTAAGAACATCTTTTTTAAAAGACAAAGAAAAGGGGCGGGACCTCCATCTGTTAGGACAAACACTGCCAAGCAACTAACTGCTTGACTATTTCAGGTATGAGAATAAAATCAAGTCATTTAATTCTAGATAAAAATTGTCTACTAGGACCACTAATAGTAAGTCCATTAATTATGCTAGGAACCTCCAATTCTTGAGGAATGTCAGGTTACTGCATAATACTAATGAAAACAGAGAAGAGTGAAAACCATGAGAAGAGACTTGGCTCAGCAGTTAAAAGCAAAGGACTTCCCAGCACCAATATCAAGAGAGTCACAACAACCTGTAATTCCTCCAGTATCCAGGTGAATCTGCACCCACAGGCACATACCCACAAAAACCAAATATATTGTTAAAAATAAAAATAAGCCGGGCGGTGGTGGTGCACAACTTTAATCCCAGCACTTGGGAGGCAGAGGCAGGTGGATTTCTGAGTTTGAGAGTTCGAGGCTAGCCTGGTCTACAGAGTGAGTTCCAGGACAGCCAGGGCTACACAGAGAAACCCTGTCTCGAAAAACCAAACCAAACCAAAACTAATAATAATAAAAATAAATAAAAAAATAAAAATAAATCTTTACAACGTGTAAAATGGAAGCAGCACAAAACATCTTACATGGAAACTATCAAAATGTAATTTAAAATTTGATGGCATATTGACATGTTGGACCTGTTAGGTATATTTCAAATTGTTATTAGGGTACTTTGCCAAGGAAAAGGTGCTCTGAATCATGGGTGGGAGAGGAAAGCACTATTTCTATTATTTCATTCTGGCATCAAATGTCTTAATTTTTATTTAAAATGCCAGAACACAACCCTCTTCTTACTCAAAGAGTTAAAAATCAGTTTTAGGGACATAAAGCTCAGTGATGAAGCCTGTACTACTAGTACATTAGAGTAACTACCAGCACCACAAATACATGAATAAACAAGTCAAATCTTGCTTTTCCTGTTGGTCTGGAGTTGTTAAATTTGTATTTTTCCATTTGTACAAAGTTTTCACACTAAATTAAATATGTAAGGTCTTATCTAGACAGGTGTGATTACAAAAGAACAATAAAGGTATACTCTAAAGAAAGAAAAAGCTTGACTTTAGAGATGTTGCAATGAAAAGCAGCTATCTTACTCTTGTCTATACTGCAGACGATAGAAAAATCACGGATCATTACTTGTAAATTAAAAATGAAATAAAATCATGGTAGATAAAGAATAAAACCTTGACTTTCCTTACCATTCATTTTCATATTACTTTCTTTTCTAAAGAAACCAGAATACCTTTTGTATAAAGGTTCTGAACCATTCTGTTTTGTGATCACCAATTCACTAAAAACAACTAATTAAAGCTTACAGTTAAAAAGTTGATTTTGTCATATTCTACAAATAAAGACAAAATACAAATTCTTTACATCTACTGAACTTTAAACTAAACATGAGTATAAAACTTCAACAAATACTGTTTATATATTCCATTTGAGAAAAGAAATGGAAGAGAAAGGGCCAAGAAAACAATCAGAATATAAGCAAAACCAAGAAACAAAGATGACAATGAGAAAGAGAAGTACACACTAGGAAAACAACAGATATAAAGAGGCCATTTTATTTTTGACACAGTAACAAAGGCAATACAATAGATAATAAAGTATTTATATCAGTTAGTGCAAGAATTGATCATTCATAATGCAAAAATTAACCCTAGACCTGAATCTCACATCTTGTTTTCTTAACTAATGTAAAGCAGACCAGATCTAAATGTCAAATAAGAGCCTTTGTATTTATTTATCCTTTACCAGCTGCCTCCCAAGAAGAGGTTAAGGCAGCAAGAGAAAAGCTGCAAGGGGGCCTCCCTGTGCCCTTTGTAGTTTATATTTTAGGTTCTGAACTACAAATATTTGGAAATCAATGTGTAAAGTTCTTTAAAATGTTTTAAGAAAAAACATTCAAGACCATTGGATAGTCAAAGTTATTTTTAAAAAGCACACAGATTGGACTTTCATAAAATTTTTCTTCTGCAAATAAAATTGTTAGGTGGATGACAATACAAGCTACAAACGAGGGTAAGAATAGCTGCATATCACATATCCAACAAAAATGTACTGAAACTATATATTTTAAAACTACTAAAAAAAAACCTACTGAAAGGACTGGAGATGTATCTCAGTTGATACATACAGCCTTTACTTAGCATGATAGAGAACCTAGTGAGAACACGAAACATCACTATCACCTATTTTAAGAGTTTCTTTAAAAAATTAAGCACAGAAATTGCCATATGATCTAATAATTCCACTTCTAGGTGTCTATTTGGGAGAAATGTTCACACATAAATCTACTCATGAATGTTGACAGTACCTTTATCCAGTCATAATCCCTGAAGACTAGAAATAATCTCAGGATGAACTGATACACCTAGACAATATTGTGACCAGCAATACAAAACAATGAAATGCTGACACATAAAACAAGAAAATCAAAAAACCTAAGAAGCCTCACGCTAAGTGAAAGATATATTCAAAAGACTATATACTGCATAACCACATTTATTTGACAATTATGAGCCAGAAGTAGTGCCACATGCCTTTAATCCCAGCACTTAGGCAGATCTCTGAGAGGCCAGCCTGGTCTACATAGTGAGTGCCAAGACAGCCTGAGCTACATAGTGGAACCCTATCTCTAAAACAACCACTCCTTCAAAACAATTTTTTAAACACAAATATGAAATAGACAAATTTTAACTAAAAAAAAATAGATAAGTTGTTGGCAGGTATTAAGAATTGCAGGAGCCGGTAGTGGTGGCGCACACCGGTAGGATTTGCTGAAGGAGGCAGAGGCAGGAGGATCACGAGTTTGAGGCCAGCCTGGGCTACACATTGTTTTGCCGGGCGGTGGTGGGAGGCAGAGGCAGGTGGATTTCTGAGGCCAGCCTGGTCTACAGAGTGAGTTCCAGGACAGCCAGGACTACACAGAGAAACCCTGTCTTGGGGGGGTGGGGGGGAAGAATTGCAGGAAAAGCTGGGTAGTGGTGGCCCATGCCTTTAATCCGAGGCCAGTTTGGTCTACAAAGTGAGTTCTAAGACAGTCAGTATTATGTAGAGAATCCCTGTCGAAAGAAAGAAAGAAAGAAAGAAAGAAAGAAAGAAAGAAAGAAAGAAAGAAAGAAAGAAAGAAAGAAAGAAAGAAAGAAAGAAGGAAAGAAAGAAAGAAAGAAAGACAGAAAGACAGAAAGACAGAAAGACAGAAAGAAAGAAAGACAGAAAGAAAGACAGAAAGACAGAAAGACAGAAAGACAGACAGAAAGACAGAAAGAAAGACAGAAAGAAAGACAGAAAGAAAGAAAGAAAGAAAGACAGACAGAAAGACAGAAAGACAGAAAGAAAGAAAGAAAGACAGAAAGAAAGACAGAAAGAAAGACAGAAAGAAAGAAAGAAAGAAGAAAGAAAGAAGAAAGAAGAAAGAAAGAAAGAAAGAAAGAAAGAAAGAAAGAAAGAAAGAAAGAAAGAAGAGAAAAAAAGTTGCAAGGAAAGACGAACTAGAGGGATGGCTGGAAGTAATGCATAATGGCAATTACATTGTTCTGTTTTCTTCACAGAGACAGTGGTCATATTATGCATTTGCATGAAATTATAATACTATGTAAGAAAAAAATGCCAAGCAGCTTTCACCTGTAACCCTGACACTGGGGATGCCAAGACAGGACACAGAGACACAGATACAAAGAATTCAAGGTCAGCATGGGATACAGTGAAAAGCTATCTCAAATTTTAATATGCTAATTAATTTATTTTAAAATTTGGAAATAAAAACAGAAATGATAGAATTTAAAGTTGAGTTCAATGGGAGAGACCACATCTAAAAGAAGTATGCCCAAAATGAAAAGATATGATGACATAATAAAAATCCTAGCACTACAAGATAAACCCAAAGTAAAGTTGAAAGAAGTGTATAGGCAGGACACCGAAAATAGATAAGGAAGTTACTGAAGTCAAAGGCTAAAGAAATTATCTTAAAACTTTTATCATGTTAAAACAGGCCATATATCCCCCAAAGACACAACTTTAAATAGCTATCATCTATGACACATAGATGTTTTATGTACACAGCATAAATGAACCCCTGGGTTCAGACTCTAGTACCACATAAACTCCGCATGGTGCCATATGCCTTTTATGCCCACTTAAACAGTAGTGGCAAAAGGATAAGAAGAGTTCAAGGTCATCTTCAGGGACAAATCAGGTTAAAGTTGCCAGGCTAGGGTGTATGAAACCCTGTCAGAAAAGCAGATCAAGATAGAAACTCAGGTGAAAAAACTACCATGCCAAAAATGGATAGCCAAAAATAAATTTCTAGATACCAACAATCTACTGAGACTAAATCACAAAAAAAGCCCTTGGAGAAATAAAATGTAATGTAAATGTAAGTAACATGTATGTAATAAAATATCTCCTATCAAACAAAATTAAAGAAACATGTAGGCGGAAAAAAAAAACAAAAAAAAACATGTAGGAAATAATATAGATGGAAATAACTTGTAAGCAATAAATGTCTCCTACCTAACAAAATCTAGGGCTAGAGATACGAACAGTTGTACAATGCTTGCCTTGCAAAGGCCCTGTGTTCAATCTCCAGCATCACAC